ATACTGCCTGCTCGCTGGCTGAGCCAGGCAGCCTTGTTGCTTGTTCTCCCCCCTGCCCTGCGAAATAATCACGTTCCCAAATCACCATCATGGCCTCGAGTTCGTCGACGGCAGCAGAGAATGCCCCTCTGTTGGGCTATACTGGCGGGCACAAGAAACCTGGCTCCTCCTCCAACGAATCCCATGAAGAAATACCTCAGGACGATGCCTTGCTGCTGCGTACCGATGCGGCGACGACTCGATCCCCCGGCGTGGCCCGCATGGCCTTGATATCCTCCCGACTCACGACCTCGCAGCGAATCCTCCTCTTCGCCAGCATCTTCCTCGTGGGATATGCCTACGGCCTGGAGTCCCAGGTTCGCTCAGCCTACCAGCCATACGCTACCGCCAGCTTCAACCTCCACTCATACCTGGCCACCATCAACGTGCTGCGAGCTGTCGTCGCCGTGGCTGTCCAGCCGACGGCAGCCAAGATCGCCGATGTCTTCGGACGCTTCGAGGTGGTGGTGGTATCGACGGTGCTGTATACAGTGGGAATTACGATCGAGTCGACAGCGGGTGGTGTCAAGACGTTCTGCCTTGGCTCCATCATATACCAGGTGGGATACACGTGCATCGTGCTGTTGATGGAGGTGCTGGTCGCCGACTTCTCGTCTATGCGAGCGCGCGTCTTCTTCAGCTACATTCCTGCCATCCCATTCATCATCAATACGTGGATTAGTGGTAATGTTACATCTGCTGTGCTTAGTGTCACGACATGGAGATGGGGTCTTGGCATGTGGGCAATCATCTATCCTATTGCGTCCTTGCCGCTCCTGATTACGCTTTATCGGATCGAGCACCGCGCATTTGACGACGAGGATGGCGCATATCGCCAGAAGCGATATGATATGATTGACGTGAAGCACATGCTTTCCCAGCTCTTCCACCAGCTCGACGTCATTGGCCTCATCCTGATTATGATTTCTTTCTCGCTGATTTTGGCGCCCCTTACCATCACTGGAGAGAGGATTGACCACTGGAAAGATCCGCACATCATTGTTCCCCTCACCATCGGTCTTTTGCTGGCCCCTGTCTTTATCCTATGGGAGCATATGGGCGCGAGATCACCTTTGGTGCCGTTCCATCTGCTCACCGACCGAGGTGTGTGGGCTGCGCTCGCGGTCAGAAGTTTACTCAACTTTGCTTGGTACACGCAGGGCAACTATTTATACACTGTCCTCGTCGTTGCCTTTGATTTCTCTGTTGTCACAGCTACCCGCATTCTGTCTTTCTTCTCCTTCTTCGGCGTTGTTAGCGGTGTTCTGATCGGCCTGGTCATCTACAGGCTGCGTCGGCTCAAGTACATCATAGTCGTGGGTACGTGCATGTTCATGGTGGGCTTCGCTGTTCTCATTAAGTTCCCCGGCGGAGCTTCCCCCTCAACCCAGTCGGGCATTATCAGCGGGCAGGTCCTTTTAGGTCTGGCGGGTGGCCTGTTCGCCTACCCGACGCAGGCCTCCATCCAGGCTTCGGCAACGCGGGAGCATGTCGCTATCCTTACGGGGCTGTATCTGTCCTTCTACAACGTCGGCAGCGCACTCGGCACGTGTCTGGCTGGAGCGATCTGGACACAGACTCTCCTCCCAACCTTGACAGAGAACTTGGACTTCCAACAAAACAAGAGTCTTCCCGAGGCCATCTATGACTCCCCATTCGGTGTGATTAAGCACTACCCGGTGGGCACTGAGATCCGCACCGCCATCATTGCGAGTTACGAGCATGTACAGCGCCTGCTCTGTATCGCTGGCATTGTGGTGTGTGTGCCGATGATCGCATTTGCCTTGGCGTTGCGGAACCCGAGATTGTCTGAGCACCAGGTACAGCCTGAGGCTGAGGCAGCAGCAGCCGCTGAGAGGGAGAGTGAATCACGACGTCATGCTTCAATTGAGGCGTGAGCGGTGTGTGCACCTGAGGTCTCAGCTGGCTGCCTCTGGGAACCGAGGTAGACGAGCATCATATCGGGCGCCGGGGATAAACCCGCTAACCTCCATTCCAGACATCGGAGGGCGGCTGTGTGATAGGGATAGGCGTGATGCTCGAAACTGCTGTGGACCGAGTATTCCACCTCAAGGGAAGAGGTGGAGCAACAGTGACGACTTTGTATCCGCCTCGCCAGCATCTCGGATGATCCGAATCTCGCAGCCTGGAGGCTATGCGAAAAGAGAGCAGAGGTGGCGTTTTTTTCGTTGTTGTATGCACGCAGGTGCATTTCCGCCACGAACAACGGGTAGGCCGTTTGTGCCAAGCATCTCGTAAATGCATGACATGTGTGACGCCGGTCCGTCGTCTTGTCCCTTTCCGCGGATCCCACGGCATTGGTCTTTTATTGTTGGTTGGTTTGTTATGCGTCTTCACTGTTTCAGAATAGCGATTGGCATGAGCGATATATTATATTTGGAGCATTACTAGAGAAGAGGGAGTCTTATCAGACAAGAGCAAGAGAATAGGTTGCATATCCCAGATACACGGAATCGGTGGGAACAACAAGCATATGTTGTTTTGGCTCAGGGTAGACATTTCTTATACAGTACAAGCGTGAGGGAAACAGATGAGTGATCACCGGCAATGTTCTGTCTGGCCGGGTCTGTATGGTTCCTAGGTAGTTGGGTGTCAGATGGGAGAATCCCGTCCCCGCATGAATGAATGAATGATCGCATTACTTAGACGATGTGGGCTTAGCCTCTCCATCTCGTTCTCGGCAGTTGTAATGGGCTACGGGTATTGACTCGGGCTCGAGTTGATTCTGGAGAAATCTCCAGCCGCGCGCCCCATCCAGAGCCCAATGCTGTGTAATTACAGGTATCACCAGACCCGAGCGAGCTGGTGGCCCGGTGACGTCGCTGGCCTCCACTGAAATTGCCTGTCGAATACGCTGGGTGGTGCGCTAGCCAACAGCAGTTACAGGGCTCGAGGTCGCCAAGAGCAACTAGGCAGGGTCCGTAAATGGCTCCATCTTATGGCGGAGGACCTCAGCGTCGATACGAGGTGATCAGCATTGCACAGCATTTCCTCTCCTCGCATCAATTGCTTCGTTAAATCGTTTCGACCGAGGTCTTTTGCTCTTTCTTGCATTGCATCGTGTACAGCGAACTGATTGACCGACAAAGTATAAAGATTGCGCCCTCAGCTGTCTGGTTTCGACTCGGAGGCTCTTTCTCATCAGCATCATTACTTGACCACCCCTATCCGCTTGATAATAATAGCAACAACAAACAACAATCATCCAGGACTCAAACCAGAAACAACATCTTTTTCTCTACCATCATCATGAAGTTCTCAATCCTCACAGCCGCTCTTGCCTCTGTCGCAGCCGCGATCCCCATCTCCCAGGTTGCCCAACGCGCAGACGATGATGTCCAGGCCTTTGGCGTCATGGCTCTACGCTCGGCCAGCCCCATCCACTTCGGTCAATTCGGCGCTGCCCTCAGAAGTGTGTTCATCAATCTGCCTGCCCAGAACGCCACCTGCGACGGCGAGGCTCCCACCGGCGCCGTCTTCTACCTCAAGGACGGCGGCCTCTACCTCTACGGAAACACATTGACCCAGCAACTCTACGCCGACCGCTCCGGAATGGGTACGTAATCTCTTCTCTACATCCCCTGTATATCACCACCGGATGACGAGTATACTAACCCCCTTGTTTACAGGCCAAGGCAAGTTTGGTTACATCACTGGCGGCGAGGGCAAGCCTCGCAACGGAGAGCTCACCACCTGGGCCATCGACGAGAACGACAACCTGAGCCTCAACGGCGCCGGCTGGCTCGCGTGCCCCAACAGCATCGACGGCGCCTGGAGCGTCTGGGTCAACGCCGGGACCGACAAGCCCGGCTTCAACGAGGGCTGCCTGGGCTTCTCCGCCCGCACCGTCCCTCTGGATGACACTTACGCGATCAAGTGCGACTACACCCAGGAGCGATAAGTTGATAGTGGTGGAGGACCATTGGGTTAGGGGGGATCCAGTACATGAATGGATGGAATAACGATTTTAATGATTCAAGCATTGTGTATTGCTTTTTTTACGCAGGCCTTCTTCTTTCACTCTTTAGAATAAGTATACTTACGAATTGAATATTGCCGATCGATCGGCTACCTATGGAACTTGAAGCATACGGATGGATTCACAAGCTAAAATTCTGATGGTCGTATCTGTACGAGGTTGATGAGCCCAACTAACCCTCCGGAGTGGCGCACATTAAGGGTTCTCGGGGTCCGGTGTCATCACCACGACAGGAAGAATGAGATCATAATGGGTTTCCCAAAAACCGGGGAAGTGGAGCTCTTATGCAGCGTTGCAGCGTGCCGGGCGATCAGACCAGACTGCATCAGGAGGTGTGCCACCATCCCAATATGTCCCTTGGCAAAGCCGGTGATGTGAGCTGATAGTTGTCACTGTGATTTGACCAATGCCCTCCGTTGGAGGAACCCAAGAATGATAGATATTTTAAAAAATATACAATTTCTGTGCCCTTGTAGTTAAGATTGAAGTAGCTATTAATAAATCATCCTTGGGGGTGTGTTTCAATTGGGAGCGTTGGCGAACGGTTCATATATCAATCTTTGCCAGGGAATCCCAGCAAACAGACATGTTACACAAGCGGTAAGCATGCTTCCGGACCTCCACCAGTAGCACGAGCGGGTGCTGCTACTTGTCTACAGATTTCCTGTACATGTAGCCATGTTGAAGGAGATAACAGGCTTAATATTCTAACCCAAAGCCTTGGACCCGCGGCAATTCGAGGCGGAAGGTGAGTGAATTTGACTATATCATGCCATTACTCAAGAGGCTGATGTATTACATGCATGGGACTTGGCTGTGTCCGAGGAGGTCGCGTGGAGCTGAAAGACTTCATTGTTCAGGCACAGCCCTTCCCTATCTTAATTTATACATCACAGCTCACTGGTCAGTTTTAATAAAATTCGATGGTTTTGGATTAATTCTACCTCAATGACATGGTTCTCTACAAAATCTGCGTCTTCTTGGAGTCTGCCAAAACCTCCTCGATATCTCTAAAGTGCACATCCTTGAAAACCGTCTCGCGCAGCTTGAGAGCCTCATCCCGAGGCACGGCCGTGCCTCCCAGAACGTTCCACTCGTCCATGGTAGCAGTGTACCAGCGCTCGAAGTCCTCAGTCTGAGCAAGAGCCGCGTCAATGTCCTCCTTGGGACGGTAGGTGCGCTGTATATCGTCAGTGATGCCTTCCACAAGCTACTGCGCCAACGTCGTCTGGGCTGTACATACCTCTAATTTGCGTCCAAGAAACTTCTCCAGCTTGGGAATAGCCTCATTCCAGGTGCCTAGCTCTCCGAAGACGTATGTGTGATCAGGCCAGTCATTGTAATCGATTAATTTGACGACGGCCTTGGCCATGTCGCGGGTTGCTGTCCAGCCGATAGGCTCGTCTCCCGTTCCGGGGATACGGACAGTCTTCTGATCCAGGTCAATGGGCCAGCCATTTGGGAAAGGGCGAATGTAGCTCTTGGATTCATCAGCTGGCTGGACCCAGTAGTCCGCCAACCAGCCCTGCAGGACGAGTGTGGCCTGGATCTCTTTCTGCGCAGCCAGCTTGGCACGGAAGGCCTGGCGGGCCCGGTGGTTGCCGCGTGGCAGGTTGGGCTGGTGCCTCAAGTTACCCTGGTACTCACTCGAGATGAAGCGTTTGCACTTCTTGGACTCGATACATGAGGCAAGCAGGATCTCGTGCACGGATGTGTACCACTCGGGGTCGGCACCCTGGAGCGTGGAGATGAGAGCGGTCGTGTCATGGCCGTCCAGGATAGGCACGATAGTGGCCGCAGAGTACTCTTTGACAACGTGGAAGGTCACCCCTGGCTTGTGGAAGAACTCACGATCCGTTCTGGAGATGATGGCAACGTGGTAGGTGCCATCGGCGAGGAACTCCTCTGTGAGATACTGGGCGATGTTGCCCGAGCCGGCGATGGCGACAGTTTGCTTTGAGGACATGGTTCTTGAGTACGCCTTTGTGATTTCCTGTCATTAACTGCAAAAATATGCTATGTACTCGAAGGATGAATTCAGGAAGATAAGAGCAATGAATAGAGGGGCTATCGGCTCGGCACCGTCTCGACGAAGGTGATCGAAGGCGCCGGTTGCGGGGCCGATCATCGGCTTTCAATCGGGAGACTTCCCGAATGAACTGTGCTGGCCGGCCGGTGCCGTTGATCTTGATAAGAATACCAACTGGGATATTTTTCAGCCATATCTTTTCCATAATTCCTTCATTAGTTGACGTGAGCCGTGATTCTCGCAGTATGAGATGGTTCTGCAGGCGATAGTGGAGCAACAGACGAAGAACCAACAATAATGAATGTATTGATCAGAGCGCACGTGCACATTGCTTCAATTCTGCTATTGGCCAGGGATAATATGCATGTATTGAGAAAATAACAGGCTGGGAACTGGGGTGTAACAAAGCTGGCATTGAGTTTGGTGTCAGCTTCCATGTCCCTGCTTCCCCATATTCCTGGGACGATCTGGCGGAACTCAGGCTGAGCCGACGGAGAGTCATGTTAGACTGGCGACACAACATGTGATGCCGGGAGCAACTGCAAGCGACCCAATACGGCGACTGAATACTGCAAGGTTCCTACGGAGCGTCACAACCGATCTGACTCGAAGAGGGGGAGGGGCCTGGTGACTCTCATCACATCACACAATTGGAGGCCTTCCCCGCATTTGTGTCTCGAGATGAAGCCCTTTCCCCTGCTCTATTCATTTAGTTATCCGTCTACTCCAGTTCTTGGCATCGTCATTTGAGGTAGTATAGGAAAGCAGTTTTCTCGTATTCCTGCTTATTCCTGCCTTGATGTAGCGACAAAATCAGTTTGTCTGTGCAACGAGCTTTTGTCTTGATGGGTGCTCTATCTTCATTGTATTTTCAGTTTCAGTTGCGTTTCGTACAAACTCCTCTCTCTACGGCGATCGAAGCCTCATTTCCGATAGACCTCGTTCAGCCGACTACTTCTAGCCATGCAAGAAAACTGCAATAGCTCCGGGAGGACAGTGGCTGGGCTTGGAATCTAATATGAGCGGCTTGACGGCTGTACGGAACAGCCAGTGTTGAATGCATCCAAAATGGAAGGAGGTAGACCTAGGGCTGGTTAATGGCAGGGAAGACAAGAACAGAACATCCCGGCAAGAGGCCGAATTGACACCTCAATACTCCATCTAGTAATGGCTCATGTGGCTGAACCAATACCGCGCGAAGTTGCCCCCCCTTCCTCTAGTTCAGGAACTGGGATTAATATATTGGTATGTGTCAGAGAAACAATATTACTCTTTGACGAGGTTACATTTCTTCGTCTTTCTCAGTTGGCCTACCATCGTGTTCGACCACGACTGGATGTGCTCAATTTCCAGAGGCGATGATGAGCCACACCTTCATTGCTCGCATCCCGGTGTGATTCTTCACAAGGGAAAGCCCGAGTTGTGAGACAACTGGAGGGCTCTGTATGATAAACCGAGGTCCTCTCAATCCCTGTCATGTGCTCTCTATTTAAGAATCCCATCTGTTCTCCCGCTAGATGAATGTTTTGTGGCCTCTTTGAAGCATCATTCAACTGCCAATCGCTGAAAATCAGAAACATAACACCCACTTTCGTTTACCATGAGACACCAATTGGCTTTTGTTAGCCTCGCCATTGGTCTCGGGCTGGTGGACGCCCAATCTGCCTGTATTCCTCTGACCAGCAACTTCCCCTCTTGTGCTGTAAGTGTCACTTGGCCAGAATTGTCTTTTCCTGAGTGTCAAACTTACTTTGGGTTAGTTCACCTGCATTCTGTCAGCAGGTTCGGAGATTGGATGCACGAAATCAGACGACGTTGCCTGTGAGTTTTCCCTAATTGATGAATGCCCATTGAATATCACTGACCAACCCTAATTCTGCTAAGGCCGATGCACTCCGGCTTCTTCATCTGCCATCATTAGCAAGGCTCTACCATGCGTTCTTGGAGGCTGTGCCGCTAGTGACATCAACAAGGCTCTTGCGGCGGGTTCCAGTATTTGTCAGTGTGTTGCAACAGCAACTCCTGACCCTACCTCGAGCAGCCTGTCGCCCGAGAGTAGCTCTGCCGAGCCAAGCCAAACATCAGAGGGTGTCTCTACAACATCAGCTCCAAGTTCCTCCTCGGAACCTCCACCAGACAGCACGTCTGAGCCAGGCCCAGGAAGCAGCTCGTCTGAGAAGCCTCCAGAGAGTACTTCATCATCTGAAGGGCATCCATCAGATACATCCACCATCACTTCCTCCTCCGCCCAGCCTTGTGTTACAGCTTCGCCTTGCCAAAAGAGCGCTGATGCTGTGCCTGATTGTGGGGAGGGCTGTATATTCTCTGCCGCCGTCACTCACGCCAAGTGCGCCACCGAGGACTTCCAATGCCAGTGTACATCATCTGCTGTGATCCAGAGCGCCGCCCAGGATTGTGTCATCCAGGGATGCGGCATCCCTGGAGCATTGGAACTTCTAGGGTCTGTTAGTGCACTCTGCGATTGTGTCAAGGAGAGCCCAACAGTCCCTTGCCCACCGGAATCGACAAAGACAAACCCTGGTACGCCCTCTGGTACGCCCTCTGGTACACCCTCTGGCACGCCTTCCGGAACGCCATCTAGCACGGGCACATCCAAGGGACCAGGCAGCAGTGGCACGGATACTAGTAACACTAAGACGCCTGGATCCTCAACTCCCTCAGGATCAAAGACTGGCCATCATCCTTCATGTACTAAAGGTGGGAACTGCGCTTCACAAACAGGAGGTGAAGATCATCCCTCTTGCACCAAGGGCTGCCCTACAAACACGGGAGGAGGATCTGCTAATCCTTCACACACTGGCGGCGGCGGTGGCGGCGGTGAGAGCCAGGGCGGTTCTTCCAAGCCGTCCTCGACAGGAAATGGAGGTGGAGGTGGAGGAGGTGGTGAAAGCGAGCGGCCATCATCCACATCGGTTCCAATCTCCCCAGCGACCACCCGGCAGGCCAATATTCTTGCAGGCGTTGTTGGCTTCATATGGGTAGTGCTAGTGATCACTCTATGAAAGCGGCTTGATAGGACATATTTACAGACTCCCTCTGTTTGGGACATAACTTCCCAGTTTCACTCCTTAAGATGGTCGATTATTAGTTTGAATTTATCATATTACGTATACGCTACGGCGGGCAACTACTAAAGTTCCAATTGCAAGCTGAGATTTTGTGTGATTCCAACAGTCCATGTATTCATCTAGATGAGTTCTCTCAGAAACTGTGCCTAGATTAGCAATTGTAATAGCGCTTGGAACCCTCTTCTTGGGCTCAGGGACGGGGGTGGTTACATACCTAAATTGGCGTGGGAGAATCTTCTGATTCTTCCTGTCCCTCATTGTTACGGCTGTTCAGCAATCTTTTGGCCAAGTCCCGCTTTGATTTGGTCGGAATTTCCTCAATGATTTATGATCCCTGGCTCGCAAGATTCCTTAACTGTGAAAGTGCCAAACGATGGATAGATAGAAGCCTTATTCTCAATTTTAGTAAATTTTTGACTTCAAAAGAAGGGGGGAATGCCTTCAATGAAGCTCCTGGATTCAGAGCACGGAAGAGTGGCACTTTGGTGTTGAGCCTGGCGAACATAATTTGAGACCACATGGTTAGAATTTTCGAACATACTAGTTTAATAACGGTTTGCTCTAATATTGCCATCATTTAATATTTATTCTCAGTAAGAGCATGCATTATTATATTTAAGATAAACTTCATTGAATTTATTTACGGAGTAAGTCGCTAGTGAAGATCATCAAAAATTCTTGATGCTGCAGGGTGGCGGTCTACTTCTCACCTGAATTATGAGAGGACCGAGAGCCTTTTTCTCAACAATGGCGACTTAAAAATTCGAATTTGTTCTGTGAATGAACAATTCTGATGTTGAGCCCAGCTTTTCGTTGAATTGTACTAGATGAGGGATCATCTCAAGATGGCCAGGTGGGGCCTTTCACTCGGGTTTCTTCCGCGCTCCAGGTTTCTCTTCATTGCCCCAGACTACAAAGACCTCGAGCCTTGCGCAGTTCGGCATCAATCTAGGACAAGTGAATCAATGGCGACTTCTGATAAGAAAATGGGCATCGAAACGCCACCGGCAACGGAAGAGGAGCGCACCGCCCACATTGAAGCTCTCAAGCAGCGCCTAACCGCCAACAGCACCATCTACAAAATTTTCCTCGGAGACGCGACTCTGAACTCCGTCTCCCGCGGCGTCGTGACTCTTCGTCTGACACTCACCGATACCCACGTCAACAGCCGAAAGGGCCTGCATGGCGCCGTGTCCGCAGCCATAGTGGACTTTTCCACGGGCCTGTCCATTGCTTCGTGGGACCTCAGGAGCCAGACAGGGGCCAGCGTCGACATGCACATCAGCTATCTCGCCACGGCCGGCGTCGGAGATGTTGTCGAAATCGTGGCCACAGCAGAGAGGGTCGGCGGTAACATGGCGTTTACCACTTGCAGGATATCCAAGATTGGGGAGAACGGGGAGGCGAAGCTTGTCACTTTGGGACAGCACACAAAATATGTTAAGCTGCCGGGGCAGCAGACCACCGCCAAGAGTTCATGAACTGCCTGCTCCGGTGTGCTCAAATGACCAAAGAGAATAAGTCATTTTTGAGCTTCGATGTTACGGCAAGAAGCTTAGACGGAACCCATCGCGTGGATCATAGCTGGATGCTCTGTGGAAGTGAGCCTCTTTGATACGCAAACTTCAATAGCTCGACCCCTCTCATCTCTCATTTTTTCTGCCTCTCCGATCGAATCTTCTTCGCAAAATTCCGCTTCCATTAACTTGAAGCCGGCTTGCTTTCAGCAAGCAGAGATGACAGCCCTATGAGTTATTGTGTGTTTCCTCCCTGCCTTGAATTGGGATCTAGATTGGTGGCTCTTCTCGGCTGAGGCTTGAGTACGACTCTGTATAGATTACATTTTAAACTGTTGATAGGTCGGAAGATAAGATCTGACAGTGTAGAATCACTTTAATTGACGAGACTCCCCTATTTTAAAGATCCCAGTATCAATTGCTGGCGGAATTATTTACAGGAGAAGGAGGCAAGTCAACTAAGTAATTTTGTGTATCATCCTTGCCAGGGTTGGTGCGGGTAGATGAGATACTCGTCCAAATACAGACCGAAATGGAGATGAGATGTTTCAGCTCTGCCATCACAAGAGGCTTTCCAATCCTAAGCAGGTCCCGAACAACCTGGAGGAAGTGAATTGATCTCGTGCAGCCGGGCGGGGAAACCCCGCATACACGGCGAAACTCCGTCATACTACGTCGGAGTTCTTCCGTTGAGGGTTTTGACTGCCTGGAAAGGTTTCAATCTATAAATGCCAACTTCAATGGAAGCGTATCCAAAAAATGATAGAATAATAAATCAAAGAGAGCGCATTTAGCCTTATAGAATAAGGTAACCCACCATCGCTTCAAGTCACCGAGTGTATAAACCGCATCAACACCACGTCTATCATCAAAATGGCGTCAGAGTCCCAGAAATTCCCTGTTGCTCCCAGCGAGGCCAGGCGTTTCGTAGAGGATGTCCTTAAAGGAAACGGCGTGCCGCCAGAGAATGCAGCCATCATCGCCAAGTGCCTCATCGCAGCCGATCTGCGCGGCGTGGACACTCACGGCATGAACCGCATCCCCTCTTACATGCAACGCATCCGCCAAGGAGCCCTTGACCCCGCCGCTCAGCCAGTCGTCACTCAAGTGACGCCCGTGGTAACACAAATTGACGGGAAAAATGGGTTTGGCTTCGTGTCGGCGTATAAAGGCATGGCTGCCGCCATCGAGAGTGCCAAGACCTATGGCATTGGCATGACCAGCATCAAGGGGAGCAATCACTACGGCATGAGTGCTTGGATCGTGCAGCAGGCGATTGATGCGAACATGATGAGTCTGGTATTCACCAACTCAAGCCCTGCTCTCCCCGCTTTCGGGGGCAAGAGCAAGCTCATAGGTGTATCACCGATTGCTTGTGGCGCGCCAGGCAAGACACCCGAAACAAGTTTCATCCTGGACATGGCGCCCTCGGTGGCGGCCCGTGGGAAGATCTACAAGGCCAAGAGACGTGGAGAGAAGATTCCTTTGGACTGGGCGCTGGACGCCGAAGGCCGGCCCACAGATGACCCGGAGGCGGCGCTGGGAGGTGTGATGCTGCCCATGGGAGGTCCCAAGGGCTCGGCACTGGCTATCATGATGGATGTATTCTCAGGTGTGCTTTCTGGGTCGGCCTTTGCTGGTCATGTCACTGGCCCGTACGACCCATCGAAGCCGGCGGACGTTGGGCATTTTCTTGTGGCCATCAAGCCGGATCTGTTCATGGGCCTAGATGAGTTCAGAGACCGGATCCAATACCTGTACGACCGCGTGGTGGGATCAGAAAAGGCCGCTGGGGTGGAGAGGATCTATTTCCCGGGCGAGATTGAGCAGCTGACGAAAAAAGAGAGGGAAGTGAGTGGCATCCCGTTGGTGCAGGCTGAAATCGATGCACTGAATGAGGAGGCGAAGAAGGTGTCTGCTGCATTGTTGGCGACGGCACAGTGAAGTAGATGCCTTTAGAGGGCAGTTTGACAGGTACAGGTTAATTGTTAGGGCTGCATAGTGTTAATGATGATTTTTTAGTTTTCCCCCTCCTATTACACAAATGCAGTCTGATACCACACAATATGCAGTCTGTATAGGCTGGATAGCAAGTTGCCGCATATTTTACGTAAATACTGCTACCTAGATTTCCACGGGATCTTGAGTGCCGCAACTGCCGTGCGAGTCATTACAGCCACGAGAGAGAGATGCAGCCTTCGGCCCGTCCAGTGCAGCTTCCTTTATTGAGAATGGTCGCCATGTGCCCCGCAGCTTATCGACACCCACCTCCCCTCGGCCGCGGGGTCGTGAGTGACTGATAAGAAATAGAGTCGAGACTCTGCCATGTTGAAATATTGCTCAAGTCGAGACCAGTTTGCAGCTTCTGTCAAAGGAAGCTTTCTCCCCTAGAGACCCCGGAAGCACCATAAACCCAGCCATGGCTCGCTTCGCTCTCCCTCGTCCGGCCTTCCTCAAGGGTCTGCCCGCAAACTCGATCAACATCATCGCATGCCTCATTTTGGTGAATCTCCTTGTGTGGGCGATTGCTGGAGTCATCCTCCACTTCTACCCACGTCTCGCCCCGTCCGCGGCACTCTCCTACACACTGGGCCTACGGCATGCGCTTGACGCTGACCACATCGCGGCCATCGATCTCACCACGAGAAGGCTGATCGCCAGTGGACAGAGACCGGCAACTGTCGGCACCTTCTTCAGTCTGGGCCACAGCACAATCGTCATCATCACTTGTATCGTTGTTGCTGCCACCAGTGGCGCCCTAAGAGAGCGCTTCGACGGTTTCACTAGAGTAGGAAACATCATCGGGACCTCTGTCAGCGCTGTATTTCTTATAATATTGTGCATTGCCAACGGGTGGGTGCTCTACACCTTGATCAAGCGTCTGCGGGTGGCTCTCTCCCAGCGTGCCATGTATGGTGACCAGTACGAGGACCCAAACGCTGCCACAGCTGCCATGTCTCTTGAGGGAGGAGGCTGCTTCACCCGGATGCTGGGGAAGCTGTTCAAGGCGATTGACCGACCGTGGAAGATGTATCCGCTCGGAGTAGTCTTCGGCCTAGGTTTTGATACCTCCTCCGAAATTGCTATTCTGGGTATTGCGAGTATCCAGGCCGTGCAGGGAACCAGCATCTGGTTGATCCTGATCTTCCCCATTCTGTTCACATGTAAGTACTCACTAGTCTAGCCGCGCATTTTGGTATCAGTAACTAATTTGCTCTTCAGCCGGCATGTGTCTCCTCGACACCACCGATGGAGCCCTCATGCTCGCCCTCTACACATCTAAAGCTTTTTCTCGCGACACAGTCGCCATCTTATACTACTCCAGTATCCTCACCGCGATCACCGTCTTTGTGTCTGCATTCATCGGTACCATCCAGGTCTTGGCTCTTATCCAGAACGTTGCAGAGCCAGAGGGCCCATTCTGGGACGGCGTTGAAGCTATCGGCGACAATTTCGACATCATCGGCGGGTCTATTTGTGGCGTGTTTCTCGTTGTCGGTGTTGGCTCCATCCTTCTCTACAAGCCCTGGAGGCGAAGCGTAGAGAGGAGAGGGAACTCCCGTGTCATCAACGCGGCCGCTGCATCTGCCGAGGAGGCTGATATAGTAGGTCCAACTTCATCTTCACCTCTTCTCGGTTGATTTTATTTTGTCTATTCTCTGTATAGGAAGGGGGGCATGGAGCGGTAGCACTAGGTAGGTAGTGATTAAATGCAATGGCACCGGCAATATTATCATGTTCGTCGTTCTCGAACACGAACGCTTCTGCCCTGCCCTCCAACCCTTCCTCACACACAACCCCTCCTCCTTCCTCCCTCTGCGCCATCTTCACGTTTTTCATGCGCCAAGTCGATCCGCGATTATTAACCTCTAAACCTAGCAAAATCCTCCTCATCCACCAAAGGGCCCTAGTGTGCAAATCGGAAGTCCAGCCTCTGCTGACCCTCGTCCGTTGTGTTGAGGGTGTAATCCTCCTGCTGCTCCTTGGTAAGCGCATTCCACTTGCGGTCGCGGACCTTGTTCCTCCAGACGTAGAAGGCCTTGACGAAGTAGAATAGCAAGATATTAGCAGAGGTAATGCCAATCAGGATCTGGTTTCCACGTCGGTATAGAGGCTTGTCCTCCTCGCGGTAAATGTTGGAAGCGGCGATATTGCCGGCCTGGACAAACATGTTGTACAGGGCTGCACTAATGGCTCGTGTGCGCACACTGTTGCTGTTCTTCGCATTCCAGCCGACCAGGATAGCATGGCAGTACGGGTAGCTCAGGAGACCGGTGATGAGGGCGTATCGAACCCATGGAGAAATCGTCGCAGGCAGGACCACGAGAGCAAGGAGCCAGGGGAAGATCCAGATATTGGAAATAGACGACAGAATGGAACGTTCCTTTACCCGCTCGGACACCCATGTGATGATGAGGAGGTTGACGGCGTAGAGAAACTGGGATGGAATGGCGAGCAGATTGGCGTGGAAAACCGAGAAGCCAATCTCCCTGAGAATGTACGAGAGGTAGGTGTTGAAGGGCGAGGGGGGAATGTAGACCATGAGACCGATGAGGTACAGCGGCCATTGCTCCCAATCGCTCACAGCACGCCAGAGCTTGGCCAGGTTGACGGCCTGTCGGTTGTTCATGTCGCCCTTGCTGGGATCATCTCGCAGCAGTCGGTTCACCATGATGTACTCCTCGTGCTCGTTGAACCAGCCGTCCTTGCCACGGAACCAGCTCTTGGTCTGGCATGGCCCGGGAGGCATGAGAACCCAGGAGAAAAGACCGATGATGAAAGTCAGGATGCCCTCAAGAAGGAACCTAGACTTCTTGTCAGCAAACCTTTGCCTCTGTGAGGATATTAGCCTTGGATCCACTTACAGCCATCGCCATCCTCCCCATCCCAAAACCCCTCGCATCTGCAGAATTCCGGAAGCCAGAAGAGATCCCACAATGTTGCTAGTGCTCAGAGCAGTCCAGAAAAAGGCCAGACGGATAGGCAGCTCTCCTGACTTGTAGAAGTAGGTGAGCCATAGCACAATATCGCTGTTTCCCCAGGTTAGATATCATGATCCGACGCTGATCGTTGTTTCTCAGATTCCTTATTAGCACTTACGGAATGAATCCACCCATGAAAAGACCCAGGAAGGCCTTGATGGCAAAGTAGGCGCTTCTACTATGAAGAGCGGCCTGGCTTCCAGCGAGGAGTGACCACGCGCAGATGATGAATGGAATCCATCGATCAGCGCCCAACTTCTTGCTGATGAGACCACTGGGCAGTTCGGCCGAGAGAAAGCACACAAGGAAGATCTAAGGGTCCACAGTTGGCACATGTTCAAGGCACACTCGGGTGGCAGGAATGAGACTAACCGTTTGGCCGTAGTTGAAGTCATTGGTGTTCATGCCTATTTCTGGCAGCTGTCATCGTGCTAGTTAGATATCTATGTGTCACAACAACTGTGGCAAGGGTGGATGCCGTGTAGGCTACTCACCATATTGTCCGAAATAGCGCGATTGATATTACGGCGGTGGAAATCCAGAGACAGGAACATGATCCATGCCCAGAGGGTGATTCGAAGATCAATCTGCATTCATGTCAGTTGGTTTGCTTCCCATGCACGACGGTAAAAGAAGAAGACCAACAACTAACCTTCCTCACAAGCCTCTTTTCCTCCTCCGGCTCCCACTTGTAGTTGGGATCAAACCGGTGACGGTTCTCATAGTTGGCCTTCTCATAGACCTTTCGCCAGCGATCGGCTACGGAAGGATCAGAGAAGATGTGGTCATCAGACGCGGATGATTCATTGCCGCTGTCAGAGGCATTGGTAACGACGGGCTGCTTTAGCTCGCCGTTACTGCGTGCGAAGAAACCCATGTCTGGAGGACAAAAGCGGACAAGGTAGGGTATAGCTCCCGCGGAGATGCTGCAAACGAAACTATCTCGGCACGCAACGAGGCACTACTCCCAAACGGCAACAGGGTTCCCAGCGATTTGGTAGAGCTCCGCGGAGATGTCGAACTGTCTGGGAAAAGGGAAAACAAAGTTCGAGGTGCATGAAGGGGTATAAAAAGAGACGCACCATCCCGCCGCGCGCCCCCCCATCCCCATCCCCAGCATGCAACCTCCCAACGGGCCCTCTCTGGGCAGAAAATTCCGAGAAATGTCGCGATGCAACCGGAGAATCACATCAAAACGTGGCCTCGAGCTTTCCCCAGCGCCTATGATGCCATTGCTGCCAAGAAGAGACACAGAAGTAACCTGATGGAACCGGGGGTCTTTCGACTATCTGGCCATCCCAGTCTTCGAGATGGACGGCAGGCCTCCTCTACAGACCTCCCATGGGCCAATTACGACCATCTGATAACCACGCAAGAAGCTTAATTCAGAGTAGTTGCATTTATTGGAGGGTGCCAATGGAGCAAGGGAGGCCGCGGAGCCGTTCGAGAACTCCGGGAAAGCTCCCTAGTTTGGCTAGGGACGAGAGCTAAGAGCTAAACTGAGGCTTGGAAGAGGAGCGAAGATCACGACAGTGGCTTCAACTCGCGGCTACCGGGACTCCATGAGCTTATCACCAACTAGCTCATTTGGCGAAGCTTTAATGAACTGGAGATTCGAGGGTGGACCCAGAATGTCACGGTTGTCTCAGTAGCCGTAGAGTTGTCTAACCGACCCTACCGAGAAGTCTTGGAGTCTTGGAACTGCCTTCTAGCGCTCTGCAGCATGACACATATCGCGACAGCTAGAGTGCCATTGGCGATGGCGTCAAGTGGCCCATGACATTGCGACACCATTATGGGCCCAATCACCTCGATGCCGGAGCTGATTGTCGTGCTTCTTGGTACGATTCGGGCGATGGCGCAATCGATTTGCGGGACGGACTGAAGCTCGATAAGTTGGTTATTGACTCTTGGTCCCGTCACGCCAACTTCCCTCCCATTGCGTGATCTCACTTCCAGCCGAGCACAACTCCCTATTGCCTGTGCTATCCACGCAATGCCCGCCATAGTTGCGTAATGCATAACACCGAGCAATCATCTTCGTCGAGAGCGAGGAAGAAGCAAAATGCTGCTCCAATTGATTACCAAGACTGCAACGTCTCACCCATCCCCGCTCTCCGGAATCGGGGCAATGGGCGTGCTCGAGATCGTAGATTCCACCATGTGAGCATGGAGGACGAATAATATAAATAAACGGCCATGTGGCTTGGAGTGAGACGTAGAATCCTAGAAGTCTAGTCCGTATCCAGAATACACCACATACCGCCGCCTGATAAGAAAGAAACATAGACAAATATCGGTCAGTTCACAGTATCAGAATGGCGCCTTCAGCAACCGAAACGGTCAACCAATTGGCCGCCGACGCCAGCAAGCTCAAGCTGTACGCCGGTGGCGTCGAGCATGCCTACAAGGAACTCTCCCCTGTCGCCTTCTCCAAGGACGTTGAGGAGAAGGGCTCCGACGAGCACCAAGCTGCAAAGGTAGGTCCAAATGTGGAAAGCTATTAGATAAAAACATTGAGGACATCTGCTGATATCGAGTTCTTTCCCATGCCTATAGTATCCCAACTATCTTCCCACCTGGAACAAGGACCAAGTCTACCCTGCCCTTGAGCCGTTCGAGCACTACGACCACGGCAAGGATGCCGACCCAGCCTTCCCCAACCTCCTCCCCTCCTCAGCCAAGGTAACACACCTCACGCCCACCATTGGCACCGAGGTCGATGGCATCCAGCTGAGCAAGCTGTCTGAGGCTGGCAAGAACGAGCTCGCCCGCCTCGTCGCCGAGCGCAAGGTCGTCGCCTTCCGCAAGCAAGACTTCGCCGACCTGCCCATCAGCGAGGCCCTCGACTTCGGCGGCTACTTCGGCCGTCACCACATCCACCCCACATCCGGCTCCCCCGCCGGCCACCCGGAGGTTCACCTAGTCCACCGCGCCGCCGGCGACAAGTCCCACGAGGCCTTCTTCAAGAGCCGGGTCAGCTCCGTGGCGTGGCACTCGGACGTCTCCTACGAGCAGCAGCCCCCCGGCACCACCTTCCTCTACAACCTGGACATCCCCGAGACGGGCGGCGACACCCTCTTCACCGACGCCGCCGAGGCCTACAACCGCCTGTCCCCCGCCTTCCAGAAGCTCCTCCACGGCCTCAAGGCCAGACACTCTGGCATTGAGCAGGTCAACGCCAGCGTAAGGAAGGGCAGCATCAAGCGCCGCGAGCCCGTCGTGAACGAGCACCCCATCGTGCGAACACACCCCGTCACAGGCGCCAAGGCCCTGTACATCAACCCCCAGTGTAAGTCCTGTCTCTTCAAAGATAACCCTCTCCCATCCCCGTCCCCAACCCGGTACTAACCTCCTTTCAGTCACTCGCGACATCGTCGGTCTCAAGAAGGAAGAATCAGATGCCATCCTGAACTTCCTCTACGAGCACATCGCATGGGGCGCAGACTTCCAGGCTCGCGTCAAGTGGGAAGAGTCGACCGTCGTCGTCTGGGATAACCGTCTGACCCAGCACACTGCTATCGTTGACTGGAAGTCCGGTCAGCGCCGACATCTCGCCCGTATCACGCCCCAGGCTGAGCGGCCATTTGAGACGCCCTTCGAGGGCTAAGACTGCAGTTTCCTGTAAATGAATAAATTAGCATCATGACAAAATAAACACGTTCCTATTACATCACTCATCTACCTAGCCATGATCAAGCCCGTAGCTGTCCAAATGGGTATTAGCTATCTGTACGTCTAGCTTCCTGGCATGGGCAAGACAAAAGTAAGAAGCAAGCTTGTGGTTAGTGAAGAGAAGTTTGTGTTCAAATAAACCTTTGTTTTTGTAAAGGGTGCTCAGTAATCAAAGAAAAGTACACAGTGATCAAAAATAACGCTGGATAATCAAAGAACAAAACATCACACCCTGTAAAACTACGCCCAGTTTGGTTCTTCAACTAACATGAATACTGACGCTGACCTCGCCCACTTCGACCTTCGCAAGACGTCCCCTGAACAGGCAAATCAAGGCCAATTCCTCGGGTCATTGTAGTCGAACAGCGTACAGTATAGTGCTCTTGAACATGCGCCGCACTGTTGAGGTCGAATCTTCTGACGCCCGTTCCTCACAAAGGGAGGCCAGATCCCCAGTTTGAGCCATACGGCCCGTGCCCGATCACTATAATTGTTCTGGTACTCATATGCGCACCGACCGCAAAGCCACACTCCTTGCACTGGGGAAAATTTTTTCCGTGTCCAAAACCGCTGTGAGCGAGTTGATCGGCTACCAGAGATTCTGGTTCTTCTTCTTGCTGTAGGCGACTCTCTTACTGTTGCTGGCGTATTCAGCTGCGCAGCGGCTTGGTTTTCTCCTTCGACTCTTTCTTCCGCAATCGTGCCGAATCCCCATGAGCCAAAATCCGTGGTGAGTGCTGCAGCTCTACGAGCGGCTGAGCTGCTTCCTGGGGGAAGTTGACAAAACTTGGGCATCCCTTGAGGCTGTGGCGGCGGCAAATATGCAAGTCGGTCAAATCCACCTTGGGCTCTCTGCCCATTTCCATTGGCAGGGAATTGTTGAAGTGAAAGAGAACCCTGACCGAGACCTTGCCTTGCTCTAACTGTACTGTTGCGCCGATACCTCGTGGGTAAGGACGAATTTGAACGCTCGTGTTTCGGGGAAGCGACGGACGGTCCTGGGCTTGATTGATTGGACCTCTCCCGAGCTAGGTTTGATCGATAGGAAAGGAGTCTCCCGAGCGGAATGTTCTCTTCGTCCTCTTCAGTGAGGGTGGCGCCCCTCTCCCCACCACGGCCAGTACTCGCATTGGTAGAGTGTTCCGAGCCAGTGCTGGGATTCTCATTTGAACGGCGACGCTGAGGAGAAACGAGCACGCCAGCATTGTGAGACCCCTGAGATGGCGGCTTGGGAGGTTCATCGGAGCTGCTCGCCGGTTGGTTCTCGGGGGCAGCTTGTCCGTTCCCGCTCTCCTGGTGCTCCCAATCCCGAAAGCCACGTTTGACAAATGACCACAGCTGTTTAAGACGAGTTCTGCAGGTCTGTCTTGGGTTCATTCTCAGCAGCCGAGTGAAATTGTCGTCTGATTACCGTCCGATCTTCTCTTTGTCTGCAAGCTGCCTTTTGATGAGGGCAACACCGATACAGACAATGGCAGCCACAACAGAATAAAACAGGACGAGATACAAGGGATTGATGCCTAGCTGGCGCGCGTTGAGGAGGGCGGCAGAAATAACGAAGAGTTGGACTTGGACCGCTTCCTGCCAGACCGACTCCATCTCTCCAGCGCTAATATCTGTGAATGAAAGAATGCTCAGATAAGTGCTGAAGAATAGTGCGAAGCCGTAATAACACTGACGGGATGATCTGAAGAAAAGAACACGAACGGTTCAATTCAACACAACAATAACAACCGACACATTTAGAACAGACAGGTGGTGCCTTCCCTCGAGAATCAGTCCATTAGGAGAGCGCCTATGAGCCAGCTGCGGCCAACGTTCAGAGGCGAACATAAGTTGTGTTTGGCATCATCCACTGGCAACCAACCTACGAGCACACTTGCCGCAATATCGCAACAGCAATTGATCACCAGAGTCTTCGCTCATCCTTCTCAAGTCCTAGGGAAGTTGCCGGAGGTATTAAACCAGGCACATTGAGTACCAGCGACAATTGATTCCCACTAGAGCGCAGAGGAAGACTCCACGGTCCAAGATCAATTCATCCATCGGTGTGCTTGTGCTGCTTTCAATTGGCAATGGCAATATCACGTTGGTCAACATGCGATCGCCATTGACCAGTTCTACCAGCAAGACAAGACTTCAGTGGCCATACCTACTTGATCCCAACATGTCTCGTCTGGATCTGAAACAGTACTCGAGATCGAGGTATGTCTTGCCGTTTCTGGAATTACCAGCCTTGTTCTTACTTGAAATTGATTTCTGAAATCATTCGTCCACGAAATTTGAGCTGTCCAAGGGCCGCTAACTTTGGGTGTGCATGATAGTGTGCATTGCATGGGCAGGGCCATGTCTTCTCTCATGAGAAAACTGGCCCATTCCACGACGGGTGATAGATTCGCTCCGTGCAGGTAGGTGCATGCAAAGGTTGGGTGAAGAGAAGGCTGATTTGCTGAGGGGACGTGATATGTAATGTCGCCTACAAGTTGCGCCGTGCTGAGGAAGCGCCAGCATCAGCTTGGTGTGGGTGGGCGCAGGCGCGGCAGGTGAGTGGGTGGGCGAGTGCGATGCTGCGGGCTTATGCACTGTAGGACGCGCCTAGACTGCGCTAATCCAGTGGACCGTTGAGGTGCTCCAGGGGCGGGCATGCTGGAGGAAGCCCCGGCCGGTTGAGGCAGTCACGATGGGCAAGTGCGCAAAGCAGGGCTGGTCCCCCTGGCCGAGATCGCCTTTGCCCTTTCCCCATGGTACACTTCTCTCCCTTTGTTCTGCATGTGCGACGCCCGAAACCCCAACAACTGGGAGGGAGGCAGCTCCGTTCCATTGATCGATCCCTGCCCACTTGCTTTTCTCCTACGAGTAATGTACCAAGGTAATCACAGCCAAGCCCTCAACACATGATTGTTCTCTGACAGATCAGCCCCTGGTGCCTAGCCAGGCGGTCCAGCAGCCTTGCCGCAGGCAGAGTTCGCCTCACGCCTCGCGGGTCCGTGGGCAGTCATCATGCGCGTTGGTTCTCTTCTCTTGCAAGGTCGGGGGATCTTGGCAATTGCCTGTCGCCGGACTTCCGGCAGCTTCTGATTGACCAGTCGCAGGGCCAAGAGACATCCTCCCACCGGTACAGCCAGGGACCAACCAGCCATCGACCCGACCCATCCATTGCCGTTGCGCCAACGGGCTAGTTTAGGTAGTTGGCTTGGGCCCCTAAAAACTGAGGGTTGAGATCCAATTTTCATCTCCACATCTTGTCCTACTCGCTCGCCATCGCGAACCCACCATTACAACGAGGCTTTCAGGGTCTTCTTGGGGTTGGGACCACCTCTTGGGCCACTTGTTGGGTCCGGGTCCGGGTCTCCAGAATCGAGGCGTGACTAGCATTGAGCACAGCATGTCTAGGCAGGGACTGTAGCACCGGACTCGCCTTGCAGATATGCAGTCATGTCGAGGTATACAGTGTGGTCCTCTCCGAGATCGCCCAATCGCCTTCCTGGAACACCCTATCCAATTGAAACAAAGGAACCGATAAGTGGGAATGGATTGTCGTCTGTCTGACCTCCCAAACGCCAATCACCAGCTCCCTTGGTCGGATAGGAGGAGGAAACAGCAGCGACTCGAGAGACAAGCGGAATATCCAGAGTCTGCTCCAGGAGGTCGCTCGAGGCCCTAGTCTAGAGGGCCCCGCCTGCACGTACAGTACTTGGCGACACAAGACACCCTTGTCCAGCCATGTCTTTGTCCTCCGATTTTCTCCACAGAGCCCGTTTTGCTGGGATTCGAAGTCGAAAAAAGGCAGCAAACAGCTTACACGAGCAACAAAGAGCGAACCATTCTTTGTACATTGGTATGATCAATCTGCTCGCCGCTTGGTTGAAGCTTATGCTTGGCCAGGCGCCCGTCCATCCATCCAGTCTATCCTCCCTTGGCACCAGTCCCCAAAGCCACTATCTATTCATTCTGTCAGGGTCTCCCCGGCCCCCGCCTTTTTTGGGCGAGCCGCTTTGCCCAGAAAGGGCAGGGGGTGAGGATCCAACATTCCAACAAGGGCTATGGGAAGTCTATCACACTGTACGAATCTACGGTACCTTCTTATGCAAGCAACAGTCGGTGTACGCGGTACTCGTTGAGGTGAGGCGAGGCGGCGTGATGGTGGTGGCTTAGGTGGGATCCGTCTTATCTACCTCCTGCCTATCCGTACATGTACATTGGGTGGAAGAAAGGGGCCATGGAATAGTGTGCTCATCCAGACATACGGTGAGCGCTGGTTGGCTGATGGTTCGCATATCGGTGTGCCCTCCAATTCTAAGTCGGGTGCCCTCCATCCGAAGATAGCGCTGGACCCTGAGTCGGGCGACACGACGATCACCCTCCCACTCGCACATATATCCTTCCTCCTCCGACCTCGCCAGCAATTTAACTTTTTTGCCCCTTTCGAATTTTCTTCCGAAAGTTCTAGTCCATATCATATCCCGAATTTATTCCATTGGCATAGTTGACGGCGTTTTGGCTCTATCCGTCGCTTACTTAAATTGCAACGTCGGCCAGCCTCCCCCACGCCTCGTTGTGTTCTTCAGCTTTCCCTACTGACTTTTCTTCAAAGCAAGTTTTTGTTGAGCTTGCTACGTTGAGGACAGCAGACATTCTTTCTACTCGTCCTCCGTTCGTTTTTATTCCTGTTTCAACTTGATTTCCTTTTCCCTCTTTAGCACCCACCCGCGTCCGACAATCATGCACGGCTATAGTTCGTCAGAGGAGTCTGAGGACCCACGCAGGCCTCGTGCCCAGCCAGCCTCAAACAGCAATCAGGACCAGAAAAAGAAGAGAAAGAGACGAGTCCCGCCTCAGCCTTCAATCAATCGCATCTGGAAGAAGTTCTCGAATCGCAAATTCACCAAAGCCTTGGCCGTCCTACCCTTCGATCCAGTCCAGCCCCCGGCCTCCCCAGATCGTCCCAACGAGCTGCTTTGGGATGGCTACAATCGCGCAGCAGAAGAATGCCGTCGCAAAGTCGAGAAAATCGTGAAGGAGTGCAAGCGTGTGAACATGCGCTACCGGGATCCCGGCTTTGACTTGGTGAGTTTGAGTCTCCGCCCCAACTCATCCGCGCTACTCGCTGACAAAATCCTAGGACTGGGACTTCAAGTACGAGAAAGGTCACTGCCTCAATAGCTTGGGCCAGGTGAAGTTCGAACTTAACCGCTCCACGCTACTAAACTCGAGCGCCTCGGTTCCCAAAGCAGTCAAGCGTGTACATGAAGTATACGAAAAGCCGACTTTTATGAATTCACTCATTGCCAACGATGTTAAGCAAGGCAGCCTCGGCGACTGCTGGTTCATGGCTGGGTTAACTGCGCTTGCTAACGTAGAGGATGGCATCAAGCGTCTCTGTGTGGCTCATAACACAAGTGGGTATACTCGACTCTCCCCATCAAAATTTGGCTAATCATTATCCAGAAATCGGCATTTATGGATTCGTTTTCTACAGGGACGGCGAGTGGATCTACTCCATCGTCGACGACAAGCTGTACCTCAAGTCTCCGTCTTGGGACCTGCCAAGCAAACAGCGAGACCTTTTGGAGCAGATTGATCGCGAGGATGTAGAGAAGCACTACCGCAAGACCTACCAGACGGGTTCCAAGGCGCTTTTCTTCGCTCAGAACGTCGAACAGAATGAGACCTGGGTCCCTCTTATCGAGAAGGCATACGCCAAGGCTCATGGAGACTATGCATCTCTGTCTGGCGGCTGGATTGGCGAGGGCCTCGAGGACCTGTCTGGCGGTGTCACGACTGAGCTCTTCACCTCCGACATCCTTGACCTCGATGAGTTTTGGGAGAATGAGATGCTCAAAGTGAACCAGGAATTCCTCTTCGGTTGTTCCACCGGCGTTATGGAGCATGGGTATGGTGAGCGCAACGGCATCTCGGAAGCCCATGCTTACGTCGTCATGGATGCGCGCACCCTCAAGTCCGGTCAGCGTCTTGTGAAGCTCCGAAACCCCTGGGGCAAGATCCGTGAGGGTCTTTGGGAAGGGCCATGGAGCGACGGCTCCAAGGAGTGGACCACCGAAGTCCAGGAAGAGCTTGGACACAAGTTCGGTAGCGACTCCGTCTTTTGGATTTCTTTCGAGGATATGATCCAAAAGTACAGCCTGATTGAGCGCACCAGGCTGTTCCGTGATACAGACTGGCGCTGCTGCCAGCGCTGGATCGGTGCCGATGTGCCGTGGAAGCCTGACTATCATGAGAAGTTCCAAATCAAGCTCACTCAGGACTCGCCTCTCATCCTTACACTGAGCCAACTTGATCGCAAGTACTTCAAGGGGCTCCATGGACAATACTCTTTCCGCCTTCACTTCCGCCTCCACAACCAGGATAGTCCAGATGCGGAAGACTATATTGTTCGGTCGCATGGAAATTTCCTGACGTACCGATCCGTTTCTGTTGAGCTCCCAGACATGCCTGCCGGAAACTATTCGGTGTATGTCAAGGTCGTCGGTGAACGCAACTCGAAGCTCCAGTCTGTTGAAGAGGTTGTCAAACGAGAGTGCAAGGGTCGTGTCGAGAATGAGAAGCTCGCGCAAGTTGGTTACGCGTACGACTTGGCACACAGCAAGGCTTGGGACCACATCAACAAGGTTGCCAAGGTCCGCAAGAGGACCGAGCATAACAAGGCTTCGGGTTTTAGGCAAAAGGAGCGGCGCCGCGCTTGGGAGAAGCGTCACCTCAACCGAGAGGCGTCCAGGAGGCAGGACGACAAGAACAAGGATAAGAAGCAGAAGCGCCGCGATGACTGGAACGACGATCAACGTAAGAAAGCAGAGGCAGAACTTGCTGCTGCCGAAGCTGCTGCCGCCGCCGACGCCGCGAAGGCTGCGGAGGATGGAAAGGCACAAGTAAAGTCAAAGGAAGAAGGCCAGCAAGATGGCTCCATTAAGGAAGCACCTGATGCAAAGGCAAACCCATCCTCAGAAGTGGTCTCTGAGAAATCTTCCGAGGATATCCATGAAAATGCCCCGTCCGACGGGAAGGCCGATGACAAGTCGGGTCAAGGACAGGGATCCGAGTCTACCGGCTCGCCTCAGTTCACTCCCAAGTCAGAGGACTCGACAATTGTGATCGTCGCCTCTGACAAGAAGCAAGAAGTACCTCCGGTTGATGGCAGCCCTCCTCCCGTCAACCCAGCTCCACAGCCTCAGGAAGAGAAGGTCGAAAAGCCCCAGAAGCCCCTTCTCAAGTACAATTCAGACGGTGATTCTTCTGACTCACCTGTTGAAGATTGGGATGAAATATACAGCAGCGACGATATGGTCCGCAAGCCACGCATTGCACCCCAACAGCCTCCCCAACCTCGAGATGACTACGACACCGAAGAAGAGAATATGCCAGATCCGTGGAACGCGATTTGCATTGTTGGCATCCGGGTATATTCCAAGGATGCCAACCTCGAGCTTCGCACTGTCATTGAGGGAGGTGAATTGCTCGAAGGTGGCATGGGCGAGAAGGGACCCGCTGACCTGGATAATGCCCAGGCCAATGCCGGTGGCTCTCGCCTCGAGGACAAGGAAGAATCCAGCCCATATCCCTCTGTCGTCAGACGTGATGGGGGCCTGCTCACCCCTGGAGATATGAGCGCGATGATGCGCGAGTATTTGCGCATTGATTCTGGGAGCTCGTCATTGGTCAACACTCCAGGCGTTGCAACGCCGCTAGAAGGAGAGACGAAGCGATTATAGAGAATCAGACTGAATTCAGATGCGGTTAAAGATAGAGTTGATGACGATACAGAACAGTAGATATACAACACGGCGGCCAGCGAGTTTTGATTGATTTAGTGGGGTTCTAAGATTATACGTCTCTGTTTTTTGGTTTTTATGTTTTATGCCTGTCTCCTCTCGTTCGTTCTTTTACCCGTTACGAAGTTGTTCTGCATTGACGAGATAGATTGTGAAGCTCAAACTTATATAGTTGCATTCTATGCGAGATCGAAATAGATTGGCAATGTTTGGATCATACCTTCTTTAGTCGCCTACCTGAAACCTCCCCATGTGACGCGACAGTTAGCGAGAGAGTGATAGGCACCAAGCTGCCCATCCCTACATATTCCATATGCAGCTTATTCGGCAGCCTGCCTTGGGTGCGACGGCGCGTTGCATGGCCAATGAGTGACTCACGGCCTCTGGCTCGGTGCAGGTGGGTTTTGCGACCCATTAGCACGGACCTTGCTGGGTGTTGGTTTTTGTGCGGACCAGGGGGTGGTGTTGCAATGAGGCTGACGGCGCTGGCTGCGATGACATAGGCCAGCAGGCAGTGATGGTTGGCTCAAGGACGGATTCATCCCAATCATCGCAGCAGCCCCTTGCGCAATGCGTGCTGCCGGTCTCGCCTCCGCTAGCACCGCACGCACCCGTAATCCTGATCCATTATTATTGATCCAGAAGTGTTCTGGTGGGGACCTGAGCTGCTTTAGCGGCGCATGACCTCAACCCGGCAGCAGCTCAAGTTGGAACTGCGACGCCGTATCTTATCGCCCATCATCGGCGTGCATGATTAAGTGCCATTGCCGCCTCGCCTTGTCGTTGCTTCAAACTTTCCTGCACATTGTCCTACCATCCTTTCCATTCCCCCTTGGCTCGAGCGACGGTTTGATCATCATGTAGTTCCACTGCCGGCCCTGTCTTCTTCCATCGTATCCATATCCCAATCTATCCATCTATCCATACCATCGGCCTTATCGCACTGCCTGACTGAGACACCCAATCCCCAATCCCTCTGCCCTTCCCATCATGGCTACCTCTCCCGCAGCATCATCACGGCGCAGCGCTGCGTCATCGGCAGCCTCCCTCAAACGCTCCAACGACAGCCGTCACCGTCAATCATCCTCATCCTTCTCCGATGCCATTCCCGTCGACACCCTCGTCAACCACCTGCTCGCTGCGAAGCGTTCCCTCTCGACCATCAGCGTCGTGTTCCGCGCCAATGAACTAGCCACCAACGCACGCAATGAGCACGAGGATGCCGCCATCCTCGCCGCCCAGTCGCGCTTCTTGCGCCGCTCCATCCTCGACCAGACGGCCATTCTCGCCAGGCTGAGGCGCAGCCTCCAGGCGACGTACAACTGGGGCACCAGCGACTTCAAATCCTTGATTCATACCATGGATGAGGTGGACGGCTCCCTGGGTGCCATGATGAGTGTGCTCGGGGCCAAAAAGGTGCAGAGCTCCCTCAGGCCTCCAGGCGAAGAGCCAAAGACCCTACTGGATTTCGTCGACGAAGAAAGTGTACACAAGCTGCGAGATGTCATGAAGAAGAGCATTGAGGAGCTACAGGTGAGTTTGCAACAGCTATCCGTTCGCAGATGGCCTATCAAGATACTAACCGTCTGCCATCAATTCAGGGCGTCCAACAATCCTTTGATGGAGACCTACTACGCCTCGATACCGATATTCGCAACCTCAAGACCATCATTTCCGAAGCATCGATATCGCCGTCGGGCGCCGACTCATCCAACAAGCCTCAGGTTCCGATGACGGAGCGATTGGACAATATCGTCTCGTACTCGGCACACATGGCGTCAAACTTGGCTTCTTTGACGAGCCACTTCGACCTGTGTGTCACCGCCATCAGAACGACCGAGGGCGCAGCGGCGCTGGCCCGCCGGAAAGCAGCCGAGACGACACAGCCCCAAGGCACAGATGGCGTTTCCATCTCCGGCGTGATTGCCGAGCAGGAATCAAACGTTTCCAACCTCGAGCCAAAAACCGCTCGCGACCGCGCTGAGATGCTAAAGGTCGTTGTGCAGGATGCTGGCGAGGTTGACGACGTTGTCGTTGAGATCCACGAAGGCCTGAGGATAATGGAACAAGAGTATGGTGACCTTCAAGAACAAGTCGCCCAGACGAAAAAGGCATACGAAGGCATGATGCAGGCGTACATCGCCCTCGGCGAGATTGGGGAGCGCCTGACTGACTACCTTGCCGCCGAGGAGGATTTCAAACAAAGGTGGGAAATGGAGAAGGAGGTTGTCTTCTCGCACCTCAAAGAGATGCACGAGCTGAAAGAGTTCTATGGGCGTTACTCTGGTGCGTATGATGGTCTCGTCCTTGAGGTCGAGCGTCGTCGCAATGTCAACGAACGGGTGGAAGCGATTTGGCGCAAAGCCCAAGAAAACGTCAACAAGATCATGGAGGCCGACCAATCCGCTCGCGACACATTCTACACTGACGTTGGCGAATACCTGCCCACAGACCTGTGGGATGATATGCAGGGGCCTGCCATCAAATGGAAGGTCATTCGCGAGCGGGCAGATGATGCCGCAAGCATGGCGCGAAAGAGTCCAACGGGATCCGCTAGAAGCGGATAGAGTAAACTTGCAAGCCGTTGGGTAACAATCTTAAAAAAGCAGTCTTGCATGGCGGCCAGGTTTGGGATTGGATACAGGCCATGGCATGATCCCACTGGCCAAATATACTTCCTCCCTCAATCGGGACGCGAAGCATCTTCTAGCTGCTCCGCCCCAGAGTAGCACATATCCAAAGTCACCGTCTTACAGGGGCGTGTGCTTTGCAAACAAATTGTAAGGAACTATCAGGCGTTGAAATTACAGTCTTCTTCACAGGAGACGTGTGTGTTGGTTTTGGGTTTGTTTGCTATTATTATTGCTTTTACTTGGGCGTTTCGGTTCTAGGAACGACAGAGCACTGCACTTGATGATGACTCGATGCTCGCGATTGGATAGGGGCGTCGGTCTTTGTCGCTGTCAAACTATTTTAGATTACGGAAAGGTTATGTTTTGAATTACAAGTCTCCTGTTATTGTCGTACTATTGCAATATTGTTTCCAATTTCGAGTTTTCTTATCATTACTTTAGCGATGCGGTCAACATCACTTGCTCGTATTTGTTTGCAATACATCACATCATTATTCTCGGATTCATACTACGTCCGAATGGGAACGGAAGAGGACGGAATTTCGATTGTTCAAAAGAGTGTGCAATTATTCAGCTACCTAATCATGGAGACGAAGGCCTTGAATATCTCCTTTTGGGTAAGTCAAGGCAAGAAGACCCTGCTATAGCTATCCTCAAACAAACCTCCCAGGAGATTCCTCTGACCCTCTCACAGGCAAAGGAAACGACAACACTTCCACTCAGTCATATGAGAACAGCGCAGCGTTGGTGCCGCGGACATAGACCGCGATCCGCTCGCCGCCCCGCGGATCGACCACAGGCGACTCCGTGACGACGCCGCCGATCGAGGTCCAGTCCTTCCAGGCCGAGCCATTCCACTCCTTGACGACCACGGCGTTGTTCTCGTTCTGCGCCGCCAGCGTCAGCCGATCCGCGCCCCAGGCCACAGCCGCGGGGCGGGACACGACCGTGCCGCCCAGAGCCGTCCAGCCCGTGGCCGAGGGCAGCCAAGCGCTCCCGTTCCACGTCTTCTGGTGCACGCCGTTGCCCGTCCCGCGGACAATCAGGTCGAGGTGGTTCACCCGGCGGGACACGACGGTGACGTCGTCCATGACCGTGCCACCCAGGGCCGCCCAGCCCGTCACCGACGGCAGCCACGCGCTGCCGTTCCACGTCTTCTGGTGCACGCCGTTGCCCAGCCCGCGGACGAAGCAGTCGATGCGGTTGGGCCCCCAGCACACGGCCGCGGGCGAGCCGACGACCTTGCCGCCGAGGGAGGTCCAGCCGCGCCAGGCGGAGCCGTCCCACGCCTTGTGGTAGACCGAGTTGTCCATCCCGCGGCCGAAGAGGTCGATGCGGTTGGGGCCCCAGGACACGGCGGAGATGTCGCCGACGAAGAGCCCGCCCAGGCTCTCCCACCCCCTCCAGGCGGCGCCGTCCCACCAGCGGTGCCAGCAGGCGTTGTTGGTGCCGAGGGCGAAGAGGTCGATGCGGTTGGGGCCCCACGAGACGGCGGAGATGTTGCTGAAGATGGTGCCGCCGAGGTTCTCGAAGTTGCCGGCCGGGAGGAAGCCCGTCCCGCCGCCGTTCTGGTACTTGTGGTAGACGGCGTTGTCGGTACCGCGGACGAAGACGTCTGTTCGGCCTGGGGCCCAGGATACGACGGCCGGGGTGCCTGATGCCGGGTTGACCTGTCAGTGGGTGTGGTTTCTTTCGTGGGGGTATTAGCTCTTACCGGTGAATATACCGCCGATACTGCGCCAGTTGGGGTAGAGGTTTCGGATGCCGAGACGGTCATCCTGGGAGAGATTGCGGAGGGTGAAGTTGGAGCTGACGCTGGGGAACATGACCGCGCCTGCGACGTTGGAATGCGCGAGGCCGAGGATGTGGCCAAACTCGTGGAGGGCGACGGTCTCGATGTCGTAGCCGTTGGCGACCGCGCCGTTCACCCACACGTGCTCCTGGTCATCGTAGTGCACAGGCAGAGGGAGGTTCCTGACCACAACGGAGTATCCGGGCGGGTAGTCGGCGTGGGCAAGGACACCCCCGACCATGTTATAGTCTGGGTCGTTGGCGTTGCGGAAGTCAACGTAGACCTCCGGGTTCTGGTTGGCAGCGACCTCGGTGAAGGTGAGGCCGACGGCTGCGTTGGCCCAGGTGGCAAGCGCACGCCGGATGGCAGCCTTGCAGGAATCGGCAGTGGCGTGGCGAGACATGGTACCGAAGGTGTATCGGATGTTGCGATCAGTCCAAGGTCCGACGGCTGAGAAAGAAGGGGCATCGACGGCGACTGAATCATGGTCTGGGAGACCGCAACGGGAGGCCGTCATGGCGGTGCGAGTCTGCTGGCCGAAAACGCCATCAACCTCGAGGCCCAGGAACTCCTGGAAAGAGCGAAGCCCCGAGACGGTGTTCTCATCGACGGGCTTACCGGGGCCGGGGGCTGGGGTTGCAGTGGTGATGTGGCCATAGTGTTGGAGATAATTGAACACTGGGGTCACATCGAGGGTATCGCCAAGGGCAAAGGTAGGGATATCTTTGATGTCTGCGGGTTTGAAAGACAGCTCTGGAACAGAATCATGACCGTGAGAGACGGGCTGCTGTTCGGTGGCAGGCAGTTCCTGAGGCTGGGCGCCCCGATTCTCCTGACTATCAGAGTCCAACTTCTCAATAGACATGATGGCTATCTATAATGGTGACTAAAGCTCAAAGTAAAAGGTGTTTCTGTGTGATATTTGCAAGTGTTCTTGATATCTGTGGAGAGATGATGGTTTGTTGTCTTGTGCCAGAACACAGTATAGGGAGAGAATCCCGTCCTTTTTATACCACTCGCTTCTAGATCTCCTGGCCTTGATCATTTCAATTAATACGTACAGAGTAGCTGAACGCAGTCTGCCTTGTCGATCTAGACCCTCCTTCAACTCTGGGCAATCATGATCAGGAGTCTGTAAGCTGATCATCTAGTGCCCCTGCCTGGCAGCCACTGGCTGTTTCTTTGCCTTCTCATTCATGGAATTCAGCCATCATCACAATGTGATAGCCAAGAAAAAGAAAGATGGCTCCGAATTCATATAAGCCCTGCTGCTGCACCTGGGCGGCATCCGGTTGCCTGACTTGCCAACCAATGACCACACCAGCCTCTCCTCCTTAATGCTTCTCCATGGGCGGCCTCTGTGGTCTAGACTCAGCCCTATGGCTTTTAAACTATCGTGAGGATGCAGCTTACGAGAAGTGAGCGGGCGCATTTTCTTCATTTACGCGAATGATTGGCGTGGAGTGCAACGGTGAAGCCAAGAGCAGACTGCACATTTCAAGCAAAGGACCACCAACATGGGCACTTGATAGGATGACCGGCTCTCTCCGTGCTTTAGCTTCTGGCAATCCCGTTCACGAGTGCCGATAAACCCCAGATCTGCTGGACAACCCGGGTATCGTCGATGCCTGGTTTTCGTCATCAGCAGGCGTGACGAGCTATTGGCTCGGGATGGTCAGCTGCCCTATGCGAGCTTATGCAGGCAACCTTTCAGCTACGTCTCAGCTGGGACCCTTGAAGCTCGGGAGTCTACTCAAGATAAGCTTGAATATTCTGTTACCATCCTACCTTATTTAGTGGTCAGTAGGTTAAAATTTTTGAAATAAAGACGTTGCGTATTGTTTTAAAAACGTGAGTTACCAGGTTGTTTCCAAATCCAAGCCGGCCACAAAACTCTCACAGGATCTAAGCCAGACCTCTTGTGGCTAATATGTATCTGCAAGTCCCTCAAGGTATATCCCTCCTTGTTCGCCGTATAGCCTCAGTTGTGGCACTTTGCGAGGCTTGAATCAAGCCAATGAAACGAAGCAGTTCGCACAACCCGTTCAACCTCATCGTCACCCGCTACTTACCCTCATGCAGCCCTTACATATTGTCGTATTTCCTCTATGGCTGGTTCTTTACGTAGCTGAACTAGCAGATAATCTGGCCCTCCAGGCGCCCTGCGCCGTGACCTTGCGCACTCATCCACCACAGCTGAACTGCGACAATGCACGCTTATTTGTCGAGCCGTTTCGCTGTGGCTCCAGTAACCAGGCAGGGACGGATGTTGATTGGACAGATGGGACATGCATATGCATACATGAACTATCTCCAAGTGATTGCCGTTCTTAGGCGGTATACCATTAACACTATTGTGTATGAGACAAGGAGGCCAGACAGATAGGTCAGTGACTCACCAGCCATCGAAGTTAGCATGATCACGAGATGAAAAAGTTCTACAAAATGAAGAAAACGCGTTTGCGAGAGGGCGATTATGAATGTGATCTGTCATAAACATTAGGCTGCCGAACGACAAAGATAGCTATGGAAGGCTAGATGAAGCAAGCAGCAGCGAAGATCAGCCCAAATGTATTAATGAATGCAGAGAACAGAGAAATCCACAAGTTTCTGGTTATGGTCCTCGATTCACTTGTGATCCTCCTGATTCGGGTATGAAGGGATGGAAGAATGACTCCCCGCCAATCGCAATACCAAAGCTATGGCTCACTCACCTCCGTTATCGCAAGGCCGCTCTTCTCATATATACATAGGTAGGTATATATACATACCACCACAGACAACGAAAGGACAGCGTTTAAACAACAACAATGGCGGCCTCAATGAAATTCCTGGAATCCCTGTTCAGTCTCGCGGGCAAGACCGCCGTCATCACCGGCGGGAGCTCAGGAATCGGGCGCGAGATGGCCGCAGCCTTGGGCCAAGCAGGCGCCCAAGTCATCCTCCTCGCCCGCCGCCAGCAACCACTCTCCGACGCCGTCCACGACTTCAAGAAGCTCGGCATCGAGGCGCACGCCTTCCCATGCGACGTCCGCGACACCGACGCCCTCGCCGCCACCGCCGCCGCCATCGAGCAGCAGCTCGGAGGCGTCCCGGACATCCTCATCAACGCCGCGGGGGTCAACCACCGCCCGCCCATGGACCAGCTCACCCTCGGCGACTGGCAGGCGACCATGGCGGCCAACCTCACCGCGCCCTTCCTCCTCGGCCAGGCCTGGGGCCCGCGCATGGCCCGCCGGGGCAGCGGCCGCATCGTCAACATAGCCAGCCAGCAGGCCTTCCGGGCCTTCGGGAACAGCGGCGCCTACGGGGCGTCCAAGGGCGGGCTCGTGTCCCTCACGCGGTCGCAGGCCGAGGCGTGGTCCGCGGACGGGGTGCTCTGCAACGCCGTCGCGCCGGGCATGGTCCGCACGCCCATGACGGAGGCTGCCGTCTTCGGCGACGACGGGGGCGCAAGGGCCCAGGCGCACGCGAGGCGGACCATGACTGGGAGGAATGGGGTGCCGGGGGACTTTGCGGGTGTTGCCGTGTACCTGGCGAGCGAGGCGAGCGCGGCGGTGACGGGGCAGACGATATTTGTGGATGGGGGCTACTCTGCTACGTGAGGGATTCCAGTGGCCTATGCTATGCTTCCATGGATGGGTTCTTTGCTCTGAGATGGATGGGAGAGATACAGAGTCTGGAATAGCTGAGCTGAAGCGGTCAATGCCATGTGGACAGCCAACATAGTCAGTGCTGCTTGACAACACATGAAGAATCACACAACGGGCCTCAAAGCTGAACAATCGTGCATTCCATTCAGGAGGTCTCTTTGGCTCCAGACCTTGATATCAAATGTGGCGCTGACCAGAATGTCGGGTCATATATCCCCCCGGAATGGTAAAGAAGTGGCGGTGCCCGGGGCGGCCGGGGAGCCTCTAATCGGGGCCGAGATCGCAGGTCGGTGCCGCTGGTTTAGTATGGGAGCTACGAAATAGAGAGGAATGCAAGACCCTTTGACAAGAACAGAGGTCTCGTGGGACAAGAAGCCAATGGCTTGAGGAATGCTGATGGAAGCCTCGTTGCCGTGTCATGTTGGGACAGGCAGATCGGCAGGTCTGAGTCGCAGTTCCAACCCAAAGTGTATTGGATACATGGCTCTAAAATCTCACAGGCCCCCCGGCAAGCTGCTTGCGAATGAATCAAGAGGCTCCTGCTGACCAGAAAATCGACACACCAAAAGCACCAGCATCCTTCGATGCTCCACTATTACGTTCTGTGTTACCCAGGATATCATCACCCTTCCCCCTGAAAAGGCAAAAGAGATTATCCTCTTTCCGCTCATCAAACTAACTATTTCTTTAGCTCCCATCTAGTGCCGTACGCACCAAGCTACGATATGTGCTAGCGGTGCCATTAGTCTAGTCTGGGGTCCCGATGATGCACGTGTTCCCCCTCCTTTTTGATCGTCGTCTTGCCACACTGCTTCAGGCCAGCCCCCCCCTCAGGACATCGATAGATCGGACGAAGAGATGATTTTTACAATTTTTACTTGTTTTGAGTTTTGTACAGTAGGGCCGCTGTCGGCTAAGACGCAATATATACAGGATTTTGAATTAGGTGCCCTTGATTCTTAAGATGCCTCTCGAGGCTACACCATCGGTTGTAGCCTTGGCTGCCTGCCCTCGTCCGCCGTCTTCGGACGTTCAGAGCCATCGGGATATCCCGATGACGATGGTAGGCTCTGTAGATAAAAGTTGCCGCCCACAACGTGGTTGGAGCTGCTCTTAGAATGGCTGTGTCGGCCCTGGAGGTCCTTGACCAGGGTGTAGAAGAAGGCCGTGTTGGCTACTATACATGCGCAGAGAGTTTCGATGGATGCCCACTATTTGAAAAAATGTCAGATCCCATCATATGGGCGTTATTGATGATGACGTACCAATGAACGTGATTGTTGCGAGACGGAGTTGATAAGGATGAGAGGGATGCGCAGGATGGTGATGACAACGACGACGAAGCCGATGCCGAATAGAAAGGAAAGCTGGATTTTGCTGTAGGAAATTGTGTCAGCGATATCAAGGCTCCACGAGCATAGATAAGGAGTGTGACATACGATTTTCGATCCAGTCTGACGTTGCGGAGCATAGGAAAGGGAAGGATGATGAGGGCGATGTCGGTAATAATGTTGAAAACAGCCTATGGAGCATCACATCGTTAGGATATACAAGGAGAAAGGTCGAGCCTGGAATTTGGGGTCTCACCATTACGAGCAGGTTCACCAGCGCTCGGCTGCATTGAGGGCCTGGATAGACGGTTAGCAACAAGTTCGTCGCCCATCGAAAGGTTCCATTTGGTAACTTACGGTCTGCCGCGGAAGTCAACTTCCAGGCTCTATTTTCTTAGTGTTAGCAACAATTCCACTCCGTTTCAAGGACCACTGAGGGTTGGAAAGACTCACAATTGGAGAGGGTGACATTCTGCCACTGTGGAGATGAGGACGGCGATGAATGTGAGACAAATCACCCATCTCAAGGTCGTGATGACCTTCTTCCCCCATTCCAGCGGGTCCACGAATCGTGTGTAGAAGGAAAGCAGGCAGAGCTTAAGACACCACAAGCTATATCCAAGTTAGCCCCTCTCATTCTTCCCCCCAATGCCGAACCATTCATATATAAGGGGACTGCTCACAATAAAGCATAGAAAATGCGCGCGGGCAAGAGCAGCTGCCTGGACAAGATCCGGTCCGCCGTCAGGTCTTCCACGCTCATGTTAGCCTGCTGGGCCTCCTCCATCGTCACGGGCGTCGTGAGCTGATCAGGGTTGAGCTTGAAAGACGTGGAAATCGTCGCCGTCCGGGCCACGAGAGGAATAATGGCAAACGCCATGTATGCGTCGTCGACACGCCATCTCCGGTGGCAGGTGGGATGGACCTTGCATGTGAAGAAGAGACGGTATAGACACCGGGTCAGGATGAGGGTGCCGCAAATGCAGGCCGACGAAATGTCGAAGGCGACGGTGCTGAGAACCATAGTATTGCTTTCTTTTTTTCGACCTTGTTTCCTAGTTCTTCGAATCTCCTTCTTCAATGCGTCTCTTTCTGGTCTGATCTTTCGTACTCCCCACTCCCCTTTCCCCCCTTTCGGTTCTGTTCGTTGCTTTTTCTTCTCTCCTGGGCCCGTTCCGGCGCCGGTACTCTGAGGTAATCCCCCACCCCCGTGTTTCGCTGAGTGAGAAAGTCGGGCGCTACGGTGTAGGCAGTCGCAGTCGCAGCATTGTCGTCATCAAGCTATGGGACAACCATCAATTGGGCATGTTGCGCATCTGTCAAAACATGCAGGATCGTCGGGAAGGCATGGAGACAAAAAGATAGATCAGATGCGACAAGGCTCCGCAGTCAAGAAAGAACTGGGGGAAGCAAGACAAGTGGTTCCCCCTCCCCCAGGCTTACATATATCCCAAAATCTGGCATCCATAGTATAAATCCCGTCGAGTCAGGACCTTGGCCAGGGAAGCAAGCTATTACCCAACGGGGGGATCGATGTGGAGGGGCGCCCCAGGCGGCGAAGGAGGGGCGACTGGAAAAAGGCCCTGGCGGAGGAGACGGAGGGCCCACGGAGAAATCCATGGATGGGTGGGGAGAGTGTGTCTAGGGCCAACCGAAAGGGACGCATGAGATGTAGGGAATGTATGTGGATATGGTGTGCAGAGCCAGGTCCAAGGCTAGCAGAGCCCATGCTGTTCAACCGTTCCGGCGGCGTGGTTAGCTCATTTCATAGGTACGAGGCTACCCTCTTGGCAACTGGAGAATTCCTTGGCTTGAGGGCACACCGGCAAGGGGTCGGGTTGCCGGTCTGTCTGTCTGGACCAGAGGCGTGGGTGAGGGCACAGTTCGGGACGGGGCTCGGGTCGGGTTTCTTCACCAGCACGTGTGTCTCAGAGCACTACTTTTTAACCAGCCAATAGTCGAAATTGAGCTGTAAATACATGGTATAGCACGCGGGCCTCAATTCTGCACCGCGAGCCAATGCGAGGTGGCCCGCGACAAGCGTCAATGCCCCATGGCCAACAATGGGTCGTCATTGTAAACGGACCGCACGGAACCGTTCCGGGATGTCCTTCATCCATAATTAAGAGTACCAATTATACCTATTACACACCGCATCCACACCGCACCAGAAGAGCCTGAATACGCAAAAAGTCTTGGTCGTTGACCGAAGCGAGATGGCGACAGGGGCAAGGGGCTGCTCGGGCGTGCTGAATCGCCGGTTTTGCGGGGAGCCACCAGCAACAAGCCCCCCGACACACAACACCTGACGGCACACAAAACGTCAACAATGCTGGGCCATGGGGAATGAGGTTAATGGTGGCGCTGAGGAACGCATCACGCCGTGGCTGGCTCTGTCTGGCTTCTGGCGCCGTTTGGCGTGATCCCGTTCGGGCAGGCCACACGCAAGCCATCGGTTTATGCCGCCCAGCCTTGACTCCTTGGAGCTTGCTTGCTCCGTGAATCTAATTTATCAGCCCTCTGGTTTAGGTAATTTTTTGCTAGGGAGTTTACCGATGATTATCAACCAACTCTTGGCCTGCATGTCATTCGACCCTTGGCGGGCCTCTCTCTCCCTCCGCTGCCGTTGGTGCTGCGTTTCGACGTTATGGCCGACGCTGATGTGCTTGCTGTCCCGTTCCTCGGCTGATTCTCCGCCTTCTCTAGACCAACTCGGACGATCCCCTGTGTGCTCTTTGGCTGAGTCTGTACGTCTGCAGATCCAGTCGTCGCAGCCATCAATGCGCACCCATGCCGCTGCTCAATGCTACCTACGTACCGCCTTGAACAAATTGTGCCCCAACTCCCTAGTTCCCTGCCAGCCGCGCAGGGACCATCGGTTTTAACGGGGTCCGAACATCATAGCTACCAGCTCCAGTAAGGATATTTCCTTCACGACAAGGAGCAACCCGCCAACACTGCAGCGAAAAGTCGCTGCCTGGCATATTCACCTAGGATCTTCCGCTTGTCACTGACATGTGCCAACGGTCCAAGATCCGACGAAAAAGAAAAGAAAAAAAGCCCCCAACGGCCAACATCAGTTGGTAAATAAAAAATTTTACTCCCCCCCCTCTCAAGCTCTCTCCACACCATCTACAGTGCCCCGGGGACGCGTATCCGCACCATCACCACCCAACCTTCGGCCCTCGCTTATTCGCCTTTTCATTGACATCTGACTTGGTTCTCTCTGCAACGTCGCCTTCCTGCTATCCCGTCTTTTGACAGCTTCTGCGGGCTCTGCAGCACTGGCGTGTTTGGCTGAAATCCCGCAACCACCACCCTTTTCTTCCATCATCCAATCCTCGCCATTTCCACCAGACCAAACCTTATTCGTAAAAATCATTCGAACTTTTTTTTTCCTGCACCAACCTCCAAATTGAACCGTGAGCTCCGATTTAGGAGATTCGACAGTCGAGCATCCGTGTGGGACCCCCCCTTACCTAAACGCCCCCCCGGCCTAACTGCCCGCCGTTGAAACAGACTCGAAAGAACCCTGAGCTCACTAATTGCGTTGCTGTGGATGACAGCCAGCCACATTGCACGCATCTCGCTTAATCGGTGTAGGTTGCCAACTAATTTCTGTAGCCCCGATCCCTCGTAGAACCTACTTGTCCTTTCCTGTCTGGCTGCTTCATGAGGCATAACTCGGTGCGGGTGCCCAAGCTGAGACGGCCTCGCCTGCATCAATCTGGAGCACGTGTGTTTCGGCGCCGATGCCACGGTACTTTGCTCAGGATGATTCAAAGCTCTTGTTTGTGATTACTACTACTACCAAATAATTCGGGGTATTCATCTATTCCTCCCGCCTCCGCCCCCTACAAAGCTCACATCTAGACGTCCGTCAAATTATATTATATGCCTATTGTAAAGCAAGCAGGGCAGCATGCATTAAAGTCTTCCTCCGCTCGTCCGCAAGGGTGGCTGACGTAGCATTGCCTACCCGCCCTCTATTTTAGCGAACCTGGATCACTTCATGCACCTTGGGGTAGACACGAGCCATCTCTTCATAGAGCTCGGGGTGTTCACGTGCCAGGACCTGGGGGTCCCATCCCATCCCAACAAATAGGGTGTCGATGCCGCTTGACAGAGGTGTCGTGAACACATTGGCGATCTGGAAACCGATGAGGAACGCAAATGCCACCACCACCGGCGTGTAAGCACCCGTTGTGTTGTAAGAGGGTTTTTGTATGTAGAGGAACAGGTAAGCGAGAAGTGCGCAGGCATAGCCAACGAACATGCCACCAAACGAGAGGACCGGTCCAATCAAGCATTCCTAGCAAGTAATGTCAGCCTGTTTTCTTACCCTTGGCTGGCTTTAAACCGTTGGAAACCTCCATCAAGCATGTACTCACATTCACGAGCGCATCAATTCCGCGGTCCTTGATCATGTGCCAGGTATCCTTGGCGGCGGGAATATACGCCTTCCCGTACAGAGCGATGTGGCTGAACGCATACCGGTTCAGGAACTCGGCAGCCCATTCCAGCACCGAGATGAGGCAGCCGAGGATGCAGAACACCACATAGCCTATCATGCCCCCAATGCCACCCTGCTGCGCTGCTTCGCTACGCGCAACTGAGCATAGTTGCCGGAGGAACTGGATGATGGCTACAAGCAGGCTTCCAAAGCTGATTGACCCAAAGCTGTATGTAAGCGCTCGCTTGGCGGCGCCCCTGGTTGCGCCCCTGGGGAAGTTGTGAGGGCTGAAGTACCAAGCTCCGTACACACCCGAGATGGTGACGTGAATCGTGTTCTTGAGCCATTCGGAGATCCAGTACATGGCAAAGGTGATGAAGACGATTAGGCCAATCACCTTACCATTACTACAGCCGCCGCCGGCAGCATTGCACGATGGCGAAGGCTCCCACCTAGTATAGACGGCCACCAAAGTCACTGAGAACCACGCACCAAACGCCGCGGCAACCAACCCTCCGATAAAGCTTACCAGGTAGACGTGGCCATACTTCTTGCTCACGTCAATACTCGTCTTCAGCATCAGCGCAGAGAAGGGAATCCGCGAGATCCATGTGTAAAAGGCAAACATCAGGAAGAGGGCAAAGATGGTGAACACAATGGCGGCACTCCAGTAGCGTCGCCAGAAGTAGAAGGCAGCCGTACCGACGGCGAAGACGATGTTCAAGATACCCGTGATCCAGATGAACTGCTTGGGGAATATGCGGGCAAGCCAGACGTACGCATAGGAGAAGACGACGGCTACGGCGAGAACGCAGCCAAACATGATCATAGTACTCGTGTCAAGTGCGAAGGCGTTGCGTCCGTCGTTGATTCCGCCGCCGTTGATATTTCGGGTCTTGGTGTATCCGAGCAGCGCGATGGCAGACACGGCGACAAAGCCGCCAAAGACGAGGATGAACTAGAGAAAACGAGCGCATCGAATCACATCAGCCATTGGTTCCGGTGTCGCGCTCGGGAGTGGGACATGGCTAAAGCGCAACAACTCACCAGGATACCAGCCCACACATCATTGTACTTGGGCTTCGCGATCTTGAAAGTCTCCTCGAACTGGGGCTTCTCGTCTATGCGAGCACCGTACCCATCGCCATAGCCATTGCCCTGAGGCGCATAGTTGGCCGGTGGCGGAGGGCCTGGAGGGGGACCTGGAGGTTGCGCATACTGCTGCTGCCCGTACTGAGGTCCTCCATAACTTCGATCCTGCTGCTGAGGCTGTTGGTGCTGCTGCTGCTGGCCGGAGTTATTGAAGTAACTGTCAGCCTCACCCATGGCTGCGGTGTGTCCCCACGCCGGGTCAACCTAAATCTGCACGCGTGAGATGATGGACGAGAACTGGACCGGCGTAGGAGGTGTTTTGGTTTTGTCGCAGGCCAACAACCCAAAGGGGAGTTACACTATGTTTGCTTGGACCCCGTGCTATTGCTGTTGCTGGGCTGGAATGATTAGGTAAAGATTTGGAAGGAAAGAGCGACAGCTGGCACTTGATGCAATTTGCGACAGAGGATAGGGGAGGGAGAAAAAAGGTTAAGATTAGAGGAGAAAACTTAGAAAATAAGACATCAAATCAAGCCTACATCATACATTGGCAGCTATGCCAAGAAGGTGCCGCGCGGCCGAGAAGAAAGTCAATGACCTGTTGGACTTGGCGATGATTTTCGGCCCCGGCAGCTGCTAGGTACGACGAGCTATTCGAATTGGGGCTCTTTGACAGTCTTGGGCTCGAGAAGTGGCCAATCGTGAGGTCATGCCCTCGGCAGATGGTGCCACAGCTCGCGGTACGGCAGCGTCTTGTAGGGCGCTGTCGCGATCCGGATCTGCGCTAGAGGGCCTAGGCTGCTTGCGGAGGTGTGTGACGAGCCAATCACAGGGTCCAATTTCGGCACCAGAGCCCTGCGCTTGGCCTGGACCAGCTGAATTTATCAGGTGGAAACCTCAGCGCTCGACTAGGTACCTAGGTATACTAAAGTGGGTGTAAGAACGTAAACAAAATTAGGAGCTACATACTGCACAACCACCATCAAGCATCCAAAATTCCACCCAGTTTAGATTTCACAGCATACAAGCGACCACAACTATCATAGTCTATTAGAGTATTCAGACATCATCAAAAATGCCATTTACCATATCCAAACTAGCATCAACAAAGCTTTCCTTAGAAATTTCTGTCTGACCCAGGATGACACGAATTGCATATGGTGTCGCGGTAACTGAATCTAGTGCGATCTTTCTCTCCTTAACCACTTTCATAATATGATATAGGAGAGCCTCCATAGGGAATAATCGCTGCGCATGGAATACCTGAGGGGTATCGTCTGAGTAAATGCTATTGATAATGATATCAACAGCAGGTGGTCCAAGAAACTCTTGGTCGTGGGGTCCAGCAAGACAAATTTTGCCGGTCTTGCGATCAATGTATTTGCCGTCAATAACAGGTGTTTTAGCTTCACCATGCCATCCAGGACCATCAATTGCCAAAGGGTGTTTTGAAGCCATAGCAGTAGAATATTTGATATTGGTGGTCAAATAAATTCAATGGTGAGATCTGAGAAAAGTATTGGAGAGTAAGTTGGGAATTGGAAAGATGGCTGCTCCTTCATCTTTATAGTGCTTCTGTCGGGGTGATTAAATCAGGGCGCCCACCGAGTGTGCTCAGCCTGTTCTGTTCTATAATTATCAGCGTTGGATATCGTTGCCTGGAACGAAATCATTGTCAAATAGCCTGACTAAGTGAGGAGTCGGATTGCATGACTTGTTCTTACCAACAGCATATTCACATGCGCTTACGCGCCCAAGCAAGACAGCGCTACAGGGTAGGTTTCGCACAGAGGGCTATTGCCACGGACATCTCAGGGATGGATTGCATGATCTCCAGGCAATCTTCTTTCCAATGCTTTGGTGTCCAGATACTTTCTGAATTTTCTAGACCCGGCAATGGTTTTTATGAAACTGATGTGTTACGAAATACCACCATGAAGTCTACGGGTGGTGCAACAATCAGAACCCCGATGATTTACGTCTAGTTATACTTGCATATATTGCTGCTTGACGGCTGGGATATTATGACATTGGAACACACGCGAGAAGGCTCATCAATATGGTGTATAATATAATAAATGGTTGAGTATTAAAACGCCTGCTTGGGTCGTAGCATTGGAGTGAAGGGCTCTGGCTGACTGATCAGAAACCTTATTCCCTTACGGCCATTTCGACTTTTCCGAAAGCCGGGATCTGGGCTCTCTAGGGTGAAGTCGCATGGTTAAGTCCGGCGTAGTGAATACGCAGGGCTAGATGATTCAGCCATGCAGCACTATATTTGACGCTGAATTACAGACTTGACATCTCTGCCTCTCACTACATCCATGGCGATGTTACTGTTGGTAATCATGCACGTTTTCACACTCTCTTTCTTATCACCGAAATCCGTTATGGGCAGTCTCACCAGAATGATTCGCAATGATATATATAAGTAGATGGCCAAAACATATTGCTGCTCTATTCCAGCTCACCAGCAAGCAACCAACTCATAGTTAAATACCGATATACCGAGAATCAATAATCTACCCTTTCTTCACTTACAATGCCTAGCCCTCAAGCTCCTCCATCTCTCCAAAAGTCTGTCGACGAAACCAAAGTCGAGTATGTCCGACTTGGTTCCTCAGGCTTGCGTATTTCCTGGCCCATTCTTGGGGCCATGTCCCTCGGGAACACTGGGATCGTTAGTTGGACCCTCACGGAAGACGACTCCGTCCAGCTTTTGAAGCGCGCCTATGATATCGGTCTCAACACCTGGGATACCGCAAACACCTACTCCAACGGGGTCAGTGAGGAGACCATCGGCAAGGCCCTCCGCAAGTATGAGACTCCCCGCCACAAGGTCGTCATCATGACAAAGCTGGGTTTCCACGTCGGCGAGACCCTAGACATTGTCGGACCTCTTCACAAGGAGAGTCTTGAACGCAGCAAGGATTATGTGAACCAAGCAGGTAGGTATCCGGCCATTTATACAAAAATATGTTCCTCATACACCCTACTAACTCATTTGAAATCTCCGGGTACAGGCCTTTCGAGAAGTGCCATCTTCTCTCAAGTCGAGGGTTCCCTAGCCCGCCTTGGCACAAGCTACATCGATGTTCTGCAGTTGCACCGCCTCGACACCACCGTGCCCCCAGAGGAAATCATGAAAGCGCTCCACGATCTAGTCCAGTCTGGCAAGGTCAGGTATATCGGCGCCAGCTCCATGTGGGCGACCCAGTTCGCCCAGCTCCAATTCCTCGCCGAGAAGAACGGCTGGACCAAGTTTGTCAGCATGCAGAACTACTATAACCTTTGCTACCGCGAGGAGGAGCGCGAGATGATTCGCTTCTGCAAGGATACGGGAGTCGGTATTATTCCCTGGGCTCCCATGTACTCCGGCCGGCTTGCTAGGCCTGTTGGCTACGATGCTTCAGCAAGGTCCAAGATGCCTTCGGCGCATCACCCTGGGCTGGCGGCTGCAGACGAAGAGATCATTGGGCGAGTCGAGCAGGTGGCAGAGAAGAAGGGGTGGAGTATGTCCCAGGTTGCGCTGGTATGGCACAAGGCTAAGGGATCGGTGCCTATTGTCGGGCTGAACTCGCTGGCCCGCGTTGATGAGATGGGGGAGCTAAAAGGCAAAGTCCTAACCGAAGAGGAGGTTTTCTTTTTGGAGGAGCCCTATGTAGCCCGGGGGGTTGCCGGCCACTCCTAGAGGAATTTCATGAATATATTATCGAATAAGTCTGTACCGATCGGTAGATCTGTCGCTGGTATATATTCTTCAGGTGGATCTCGCGTCGGGCCCTGTACTGGAGGTTTTTTTCAAGCATCGACACATCAACTCCATGCTGGATAAGGCGCTCCACGACGTCTCCCATGTCTTCCACGTGAAATTCTCAGCCGCAACGAATAACCCTTGAGATCGGACGACTTGAAATCTGCCCCATTTTTGAGAAGAATTTTGGCTACTCGCCACTGACTGGCCCCTAAGGCCAATGCAAGTGGCGTAGAACCTTGCTCATCTTTGGCATTGACATCACTCCCATGTTCAATCAAGAGCTTCACGAGGTTTGGATAGGCTCTGCCAGAAGCCATCGCCAGTGCTGTCCTGCCTTTTCGACCGGTACGAGTTAAATCGGCCCCTGCTTCAATCAGAAGCCGTACAATGGCTTGGTGGCCATTCCGAGAGGCCTCGAGCAGTGGTGTCTGCCAAGACCAAGCGGCGGAATCGACTTCTGCTCCACGCTCAAGAAGACATTTGGCTGTTGCATAATAGCCTTTACTCGATGCCAATCCGAGGTACATGTTGGTTAAATGAAACCTGCCATTGATATCCGCCCCTCTCTTAATCAACAATGCTGAAAGACTGTCATGCCCTCCTTTCAAGGCCACCCAGAGTAGGCTATGGCCTTGTTCGTTGACGTGATTGAGATTATCCCCTGAGTTGAGGAGTAGCCTGGCCATGTCCTCGTCTCCAACCCGACAAGCCAAACAAAGCGGGGTGGCATCAAAGTCAGCCGCATCCATTCGTTTGACTAATTGGTAGTCGGGGCTTCCTGGTGCGACACCTAGGAGAGCTGCTGTCGTGTCATGGCTTTGATTCACGGCAGCGAACAATGGATGTCTGTATTTCTCTCCATATATGTGAATATTTGGCCAGATTTCTAGCCAGGTGCGAATGAGTGTAGAGAGTCCTTCTCTTGCAAGTATATATGTTAAGCTCACTGCTGAAGTGTATTGGGGCGGCTCTTGGAATACTTGGAGACCTTGGACTAGAATTGGGAGATTGAGCTCTGCAAGAAAGGAACGTTGTGGTATATGTTCTGCTGCGGCATTAGCATGATGAAGAATATTCAAACTACAATATCTCCGAAACGGGTGAGAGCTTTGAGAATCCCCCCCGCCAATCTCGGTCATCGAACAAAGACTCAAATATACACCACAACATTGTTTGAGCATGTCATGACAAATACTGGTGCGGTCAGGTCCAGCATGCGGTAATACATATTCCAGTCCATTTTCTTTCAGTAGAAAATCTCGAACAGTCTCATGAATGAATTGTACAGTTGGAACACTGGACTTTGTGACTTCGACAAGACCTTTCGAGGAAGTAACAATATATCTGTTGATTTTTTTCTGGACAAATGTATCAGAAAGGTCTGGAATCTCTGAATCTGCGTGACCTCTCAGGTTTAGTCCACACCACAGGGCGTGGTAGTACTCTTCTGGTGTCAGCGGCCACTTTGCGCAGAGAACCCAGAGGACAGAGAAGAGGAGGTCATTCGGGTTATTCTTATCTCGCGTAATAATATCTCTGAAAAGATTGCTCAAAGTATCTGGAAGCTCTTCAAGTTGTTGTTTTATAGTCGGGCGACCCCATCGATCATCGTCATTAAGAATTGGAATTACCACCACTACCCACATGAAGACCCCAGAAGCCTTTTGTATAATTCTCAGCTTCAACTCCTTCGCAAGCTTCGGGTCTTCGATACGTAAATTTTTCGAGATGTAGCTTTTCATATCTGCAGCATGGCCTGGTTGATCCTCTAACGTCAACAGGATGCTGGTTGATATCAGCATATGTGGGTATGGGCGACTTGAAAAGCATATGCGAAGCGGAATATCGTTGTTAGTTGATATTCTTGTGAGATCCTCAAAAAAATAAATCACTTCTATCGCTTGCTGTTCATCGCACTCATCGAGAGCATCGATAAAGCAGGTAAGGTGACGCCTACCAAGCTTTAGAACCGCGGCCTTAAATAACGCCTTGAGATTATCTAACGCGAGGTGCGTGTCCACGGTTTTAGATCTGAATTCAGGACGATCCAAAATATCTGGAAGGTCCCAGTAAGCTTCGAAGAGTTGGTAAAGCAATGATCGGTACATGCCAGCAACTGACTTCTGCAAGATGCTGCCCCGAGCATTAAAGAAGAAGGAGATGATGACCTCATGGGTTTGTTGGCCTTGATCCTGCATTTCTGTGGAAAGGAACTTCATCATCACAGATTTGCCAGCCCCGGGCTTCCCAGTAATCCATAGAATTCCATGCGAGATCTTCAGTTGTTCGGGATCTAGCCAAGCCTGGTAATGGGAGTTGGCGAGAAACCAACGGCAAGTATGCCCCTCGGCGGCCTCAATAATATCCTGCCGACTGTTCATCTCTGGATATTTGAGGACTTCCACCATTGAGTCCCGGTCGAGAATATCGGAAGCTGTCTTGAATCTACCAGAATATTGGATTCCTTTCGATCGTTAGCAAACGTAACATTAGCACAATTAAGCTTATCCTCTTACCAGTGATGGATAGTTGATACACTGGGGAGGACCGCGGAAAGTTTTCCAGTAACTCCCTCGCATATGCCGCAGCCGTGGCAGCGGCATACCTTTGCCATGCCTTGCTCTTGTGGCTATCTGAATAGTCGCTGATACCTCGGATGCATAGACAATCAAGAACATGCATAAAACCAGCAGCCTCCATCTCAAAACATAGCACATCTAGCTCTGTTCCGATCATGCCACGGGTAGTGGCATCCCTCAAGACCTGGTTACCTGATGCAATACCTCCATAGTGAATGCTGGGGACATCTGAAGGCCGCGACCTTCGTGGGAGTACGTTGGAGAGATCACAACCGCCGCATGGCAAGTCGAATACTCCCGGTACGTGTTTATATTCTCTTTGGAATAGGCGATCTGGCGCTTTCGGGCGACAGTAGTCGTAATATTTCCCTATTCTCTCCTCTAGAATAGAGGAGATCCGACTTGGCTGCAGCTCATGTTTGGACCGTAGGGCGGAGATGGTAGTGTTAAGAGCACGGGAGGGAAGGACTGGTTGACCTGTCCGATGGATTTTTCCTTCATCTAGCGTCTTGCCCAGATCATGCTGTACGATTTTTGTCCCAACCACGATATCGCCGAGGCGGATATCCTCATTATCCGGGATTCCACCCCCAATCCCTACCATTAATCCAAACTCGATGGAAGGGAAGGTTCGCTGAAGATTCGCCACCACATTTGCCGCATCATTGGTCCCGTACTGTCCATTGGGTAGGCAAGCAATCACGACATTATGTTGACAAATGCTTCCAAGGAGGTAGTTGTTGGTATCCTCGGGTGGTTGAATAGCCAGAGGCTCGTGAACCTCGTCCAGCATGGCACGAGCCGCTGTCATTTCAAAGTATGATGCACATATCCATGCAAAGCGGTAGGTACGGTGCTGGCTATGAAGCCCATCAGTTGCATAAGCGCTGCCTGTATTGTGTTGGATCGGATCGCGAAGCGCGTGGTGTCTCCGCTGGTCCTGGGTTGAAACATTGCTCCCCTCGACCCCTTCCACCATATTTACGGGACCTAGGAGATGCAGGATGCGAAGGGCTTGTTCACTTCGTGCGCGGTTTTGGCGGTATGCACGAATGTGTCAATTGGTACCGGACTGGCTTATGTACATATGTTCGTTGTTGTGAAGGCTACCCCACCATCGTATTCGTTATGTTACAGACATGAGCCACGGCATAAGCGAGCAGGTACCTTGCTTTGATGCATATTCAGTTTATCAATATTTGTTCCAGCCTGATGCTCACTTTCAACTCGCTACGATCACCCAGTACGGCAAGAGCAAATGCTCTGGAACATGTAAAGTTGTGTAAGGTATATATATTCTCCCTCATGCTTATGTTATACAGTCTGTTCGCCTTGCTTCGTCTTTATTTTTGAGAATGCTTGCTTTTCTCTTCGACTATCGTTTCGTGTTCTCCCTCACTGCCTTGATCGGGCGTCTCTGATTCTGTCACGTCCTCGATGCGACGGGAAACGACTTCATGTTGGCTGTTATTCGCCTGGAGCTCTCGCCTTGACGGATACCATTCTTCGGTATACTGGAGGGGCTTGTCGTTGTTTTGGTACAGGCTGCGCCGGTATGCCCCGTTTGGGCCTATCTGCGTTTGCAAGCCATATCGACGTTGATCCGTTTTCCCGTTGGTGGTATTGCTGTACGAGAGATTCAGGCTGCCGCTGAGGCTGAAGTTGAAGACCATGGTCAGGATGATGGGTGGTTTCTCTTCTTATTGTTTTTGTACGACGCGTGTCTATTTCGCCCGGAAAAACGTGGGCGCTGATATTTATTGCCCAGAACCCGATCGCGGGAATCTGGGATGGATGACGTCAGGTAGGATCATTCGTGTTGATCGCCACCCCCAGGTTTTTGGCAGATGATTCTCCTCCCCAGATAATTGTCACACCCACTGCATCTAGCCGTTAGTTCTTGCCACGATCAGGATTTAGATCGCAGGGTAAATCACGGCAGTTGAGTAGTGGCGTCATAACTGTAAGTGCCTTGGTTGAGTGATGCAGCCAACGTGAACCCAATAGTACATGTAATCAGAACTGTTCAAGACGAGCCTAGCGGTTTCCCACCTACGCCCTCAAGACACGCAAGAAACTTCATACAGCATCACTACGAGCCATAGAGAGAGCCCCTACATTTTATATATCACAAGCTCTGAGAGGGGTAGATGCGTGTGAGGGTTTGGAAAGACGGCTTTGGCCCACTCACTACTCGACACAGATACCTACATATTCATTGGACACAAATTCATCTTAGACTGCTGCAATTTCTCATTCGTTGACTAGGCTTGCCCCTCCACCCAACTGACTGTCTCCGGAGGTGTCTGTAACAAATGATCATCTCATGTTCCTTGATGCGGGACCAAAGGCCGCGTTGCTTTTAAACCTCTGTCGGCTTGTGAAAATGATGGCCCCTAAATCACTGCTACTGATCGACCCAACAGAGTCGCAATGCCTAATTTCGTTCAACTGGTTTATTTCTATGACCTGTAGAGGGTGGCACATCACGTAAAATTGGGGGGATAGGGTGTTATTCCGGCACTTTTGGCTGGGCTTACATGGTGCATCGGAAGCCCCGTGGCATGCAGCGCACGAGGATGGGAGTTGCATCCGGTACTACAGCAGAGGGAAGGATCCAATACTACGCTCCTTTGCGCTGCGTGGCTGGATTATTGAAAACGTCGCTGAGACCGATGTCCAGCTCTTGACATCCTGCTACCTAGCCTCAGATGGACTTGTTGCTATACGGCTAACCAACCGCCCAAGCCCGTTAGAGTCTCGAATTCCCGGTCGCTTTGTCGAGGCCGCTTTGCAGAGACTAGAATAAGGTGTTCCAATGTACTTGGACCCCGAGTCGCCCGCCGCAACGCCTCCAGAAGGCGTGACTCCCAACTTTGATAACCCCCCAAATGGAAATTCTGGCGTCGTGGCGTTCACCATCATCTGCCTCGTCTTGGCGACACCGGCTTGCTTGATCAGGATATATGCCAAAGGCGCCATCATCAAGAAAATAGCGGTCCAGGATGGTAAGGTCGACTCGCATCTGGAAAATATCTTTACATTGGCTAATTCTTCTCGCTTGTCAGTGCTCCTCATCATCGGTTATGTGCGTATCCAGCCGAACAAACCTCCCTGTCCTTGCCCTGGTCCCAAAGCTACTAACATCTACCCAGGGGTTTACCATCGGAATGATTTGGGCCGGATTCAGAATATGGAAACTCACAGGCTTCTTTATCCTCCAGTATAATGTCAAGATGGGTAGGCTGTTCCCAAGTATCCGCGTAAGTAACCGAGGACTCTCACCACGAACCTTTGATTAGACGTTGAATGCCTGCCACCAGGCACTGCATCTATCCCATTTAGTTGTTAGTGCTCGCGCTGCTAACGTTTCCAACACTGCCAGGTGCTCTACCTCTTCGTAATATTCTATGCCGTCACTATGATGACGCTGAAGACAGCTATCCTCATGGAATACGTGCAAATATTCGTGCCGAGAACGAGAAACAAATTCTTCTGGATTTGCTGGGTATTGATTGCGGTTGTCTGCGCATACTACATCGCCTGCATCATTACGATCAATCTCGTCTGCACGCCAGTCCAGAGAAACTGGGATAGGACCGTCGAGGGAACATGCGGTGACCGAAGTCTCTACAAGTATCCTGCCATCTTCAACTTGATCCTCGACCTCGTGATTCTAGTCCTCCCACAACGCATCATATGGAAGCTGAAGATGCACAAACGCCGCAAGATTGGGCTTTCCATACTCTTTTCGTTTGGCATTCTGTAAGTGCCCTTGTGTACATTTCCAATCCCGAGGACAGAGAAATATAGCGGGGAACGCTACGTTCTAGCAATCTGGAAACTGATTCGCAACCATGCAGGGCATGTGTCTGTGCCGCAGTTCGGATCGACTACACAATCAAATCAATCGTCAGCTACGAAGAAAACATCACGTTCAGTTTTGGGCCGTCGTATTTGCTGTGTCTGGCGGAGGCTCTTTGCGCCATCCTCATCCTCACCATCCCCTCCTTCCCGAAAGCCTTTGGCGATTCGTCTATACTCCGAGCCTTCAAGGGGCATTTGCTGTCATGGATTACTACCCTCACTGGGTCTTCCAAGGATGGGTCCGCCTCTTCAACCAGACCAGGTGGAAGCAGCCTCAACCCCAAGACCTCAATACAGGCTCTCGGCACATATCAAAGGATGTCAGACACAGAGCTGTCCATCCCATTGAACACCGTGCCACCCAGAAGCCCCTCTGGATATCCAACCAAGGGCCAAAAAGCTCATCGGCTGCCAGAGATTTTGTGCACAACTGAGATTAGAACGGATATCAGCACTGAGGCTCCAGATGAGCCCGCCTATTGGATCCCGAACCCGTATTCTTGGACTGTTCAGCCCGGCAGACAATAAATGCGGGTGCGAAAAGACCATAGTCTGCAATATATGAGTAATGGGTATTATAGACCAAACTTGGTAATTGAGCGTAATTTGTCTTAGGCGGTTATCGGCCGCTGTCGCAATACGCGGGTCGACATGGAGAGGAGCAGCAGCAGGCGCAGTCCCTGTTCGTCTGATTCAAAGACGGTCCTGTGTCAGGATATCGCGCAAGGCAGGAGATGACTCTAAATTAAATTGGGGGTGGCATGGCGACATCTGGGAGGGATGAGTCGATATCACTGTCTGCCGCGATCAAGGGGGGCGGAATCGGACCCAAGCTGGCTGGCGACAACATTGAGATATATCCCTCTGGCGTCGCGATGGCTGATGATGATGATGCATCCGACGAGGAGGATGAATCATTAGCCCGGCTGCAGCGGACTGTCTTGGATTTGGTCTCGCGATGGCAGTGGGCAGACGGCGGCAGAAGAACCGGACCCGGAGCGCCAAGACCAGCCGCGACAGGGTCTCACACGCCTTTTACGTACTGGAAACCGGAATCCTCGCCTCTTCGCCTCCGGAAACAGTCGAGGAAAATTTCTCCAGCGCAGTGTAAGTGGAACTCGCAACGACATCGGCTCCAGGCTGTGACTGGCTGGTGCCAATAATCGGTCTTCTAGAAGGGCTCCAAGCAGACATTTTAGTGGCCCGGCAGTGGTTTTCAACAGACGGGCCAGCACCGGCCCTTTTCCTCTGCCAGAGGTGGGCCCTGGCTGGAGACCGCACGGCTTGACAATGACAAAGAGAAACCCAATTTAGAGCTCTTCGATTCCCGAAGGGGTATTACGATGGGGGCGTAACACGGACATAGCCAGGTACTAGCCGTCTGTGCCTGTCATGTCATGAGATGGACAGATGAGAAAATTTTACCAGCCCTTGGGCACCCCGTTATTCTCTCTCCCGCCGATCTGGTCGTGGGACAGAGGGGTGATGAGACCGGGCGAGCATTCCTTACCTCTCTTAAGTTTGGCTGGACATCTCGTATCCCCTTCTGGCTGGCGATTCACTTTTGCTACCTCTCCCCGTACTGGCATTGGTCCATAGGTCGACGACTCAAATCACGTCAGCTCCCTTACCACGATCGCTCACTCGTAGTTGGGTACACAGCCCGCCATGCCTATCTCATCGCCGAGCGAAAAGTCGCCCTCCGCCAGCGCCGACAAGCTCCCCGGCAACGACACGAGAGAAGATGTAGACTCCGGCTCCCTCGAGGCCGGCCTGGAGCGCACCCTGAGCAGTAGGCATCTCCAGTTCATCGCCATTGGAGGTGCCATCGGCACAGGTCTGTTCCTCGGTACAGGCTCTGCCCTCGCCAAAGCTGGTCCCGTGTCCCTGCTCATCGCCTTCATCTTCATCGGCTCCGTCGTCTACTCTGTCATGGTCGCTCTGGGTGAGATGGCCGCCTACCTACCCGTACCAGGAGCCTTCGCCGTCTACGCCACCCGTTTCGTCGATCCCACCCTCGGTTTCTCTATGGGCTGGGTATACTGGTTCAACTGGGCGATAACGTACGCTCTAGAGCTCACAGCCGCCGGTGTCATCATCCAGTACTGGAATTCGAGTCTCAACACCGCCATCTGGATCGCCGTTTTCTGGGTCATCTTCACCGGTATCAACTGCCTCCCAGTCCGATGGATCGGTGAGTTCGAGATGTGGTTCTCCAGCATCAAGGTAGTCACCATTGTGGGATTCATCATCTATTCGATTTGCGTCAATGCCGGTGTCGGAGACGAGGGCTATATCGGCTTCAAGTACTGGCACGATCCCGGTCCATTCGCCGAGCACGTAGTGACGGGGAATACTGGAAAGTTTGTCGGCTTCTGGGCTGTGCTGGTGACTGCAGCCTTCAGTTATCAGGGCACTGAACTCGTCGGTATCGCTGCTGGTGAGGCCCAGAACCCTAGCAAGACGATCCCCTCCGCCATCCGCTGGACTTTCTGGGGCATCTTCTGCCTCTTCATCTCCACCGTCTTCATGCTCGGCATCAATGTGCCCTACACCGATGATGCTCTTAACAACTCATCCCAGGATGCCTCTGCCTCGCCCCTGGTCATCATTGCAAAGCGCGCTGGTGTGCCGGTGCTCGCACACATCATCAATGGCGTCTTGCTCACGGCTGTTCTAACCGCCGCCAACTCCAATGTGTATTCCAGTAGCAGAATCTTGGTCTCGCTCGCAGAGGAGGGCCATGCCCCCAAGCTTTTCAAGAAGACCAACAAGCTCGGCACTCCATACTATGCGGTCGCTGCAAGCTCCGTGATCGGCTTCCTCGGATTCCTCAACCTCTCCTCAGGTGGTGCATCTGCCTTCAACTGGCTGCTCAGCATCGGATCCGTCGCCGGTCTCATCTCCTGGTCCCTCACAAACGTCTGCCACATCCGTTTCATGCAGGCTCTCGAGGCACAAAACATTCCGCGCCGCGAACTGCCGTATGTCGCACCGTTTCAGCCGTACCTGTCGTGGTTCGGTCTCTTCTTCAACGCCCTCATCACGCTGACCAATGGGTTCACCGTCTTCATCGAGTGGGAAACGAGCGAGTTCTTCACGGCGTACATTAGTGTTATCCTTTTTGTGGTGCTATACGTCGGGCACAAGTTGTGGTATAGGACCAAGGTGGTCCCGTTGGCGGAGGTGAATCTCGCTCGGGGAAACATTGACGGTTAATTGGCCAAAGCCGGTTCGGACAGTTGTATGACCAAGTAATATCATTCGGTAGATTTTTGAGCATACCTTGTTTAGCGAAGCATATAGCATATTCATTCCTGATTTATATTTGTAACACGCCCGCGCAAGGGTGGTCCCGTGATGGTCAGCAGTGGGGGTTAGTCGGTGAGTGTGCTTTTAGCTGAGCAACCACTTGAGTGCAGCAGCATGGCGGATGATCGGGTTTTGATCCTTAGGGGTAAGGATTAATAAGAGATTCCAGGCGTTTGAAATATCGTCGACGTTATGCCGCCCGTTTCTCTCCGCCAGTCTTGCACCGTTGCATCCACAATCACATGTCAAAAGAATGACAGATCAGCGTCTGCCATTTTTGTTGAGAAGAACCCTGGTTAAGGGCCTAGCAAATGGCCTTGGCGGCTCCAGGGTGGAGTGATGCAATGGCGGCACTCATTAAATCGTGGGCTAGCCTAGCCCTATCAATTCAAACTGCTTTCCAGTCTTGAGGTGAGACGATCAAGTAGGCGCTGGCATGGAGGGCACCAAAAAGGCGGCTCGCATTCTGTCTTCGTCGATCAAGAGACAGCATTGCAACCTCGTGGCCCAGACATCTTGCTGGTGTAACTAGCAGCATGCAGGCAGGTACTGATTCGGCCAAGGTGTACCGAAGTCGGTGACAGCCTGAATCCCTGAAGGGCTAGATGCAGGTCCTTGATATGTTGGGAACCAATCACAGCCCACGCGGAACAATCCATGGCTCTCGACCGCTCTGACATCCCACCTCGATTCATCGATAAGGAACCTCCGCGGGGGGCGCGTGGAGGGGTTCCACACAGCCACGGACGGGAGGAGTTGATAGAGTGGGATGAAGGTGGTGATGTGTGTCGACGTTTGTAGGCTTTGTGATCGATGGAGGCTTTCCAATTCGTCCATGCTGTCCCGAAGACTGTCGTCATTGGTAGCATCGGAGCCACCAAGGGGCGGGTTCTCGCCTCCAGCATATGCAGCATGACAACCCACGCAGCCATCTTCCGCGCTGCTGTTCGTCAATGGTCCCTTTGAATGCGCCTGGACAAGGTAGCAGCATGCCCGATGGCGCTAATTAATCGAGCAGCACCCCCGTAGCCCGTAGCTGGAGACCCGCATGCTTAGAATTCTAGGTTGGATGTGTGATGGTAAACTTTGCTCTCGTGCTCTCCTTCCATTCCTGAGCTACAAAACGTCCACTGCCGCCGCTTCACCGTTCGCTCCTGCTCTATCTTTCTCTATCGTCCTCCCTCCTCCCCTCTTTTTTCTAGGACCAGATTCCCCCATTCTTCCTTTTGCAAACAGGATTCCAAGCGCTCTCAGGCTCTCAGCCACCCGGGGAATCAGAAACCTAGAAACACACACTCCTTAACCCCGGGGCCCACCACACACGATGGCCATCATTGACATCGAGAAGGACCTGGCGGCCCAATTCGAGCAGCAGGCTCAAGCAACGCCCAATGCCATTGCTCTTGAGGACGAAAAGCGAACACTCACGTATGCCGAGCTCGACAGCGAGACCTGGGCGCTGGCCAATCGCCTTCGCTCCCACGGCGTCGGACGTGATGACCTCGTGGGCGTCCTGATGGGCCGCAGCGCCGACTATGTCATTGCATGCCTAGCTGCACTCCGTGCTGGAGGAGCCTTCCTCGTATTAGAGCTAGCATACCCCTCTGCCTTGTTAAAGGATGTCATTGAGGATTCCAAGCCCACCGTGGTCGTTACACAGCTCGCCCATGCCGGACACATCAAAGCCGATGTCCCCCTCATTATCCTCGACCAGCCCGACCAGCCTGCCGATGCGCGCCGACCGCCCCTTGACGTGTTGCCAAAACCACCCTTGCCGAGTGACGACGACCTCGACCGCCTCGCTTTTGTCTCGTACTCCTCCGGGACCACTGGTCAGCCGAAAGGCATCGCCAACCCCCACCGAGCCCCCGTGACATCATACAATGCTAGGTTTGGTGTAAGTGATCTGCAGCCTGGTGACAGGGTTGCATGCAACGTGTTCTTCGTTTGGGAGATTCTCCGGCCTTTGCTGAGAGGTGCCACCACCGTCGCCGTTCCCGACAGTGTAAGCTATGATCCAACCGCCCTGGTTGAGCTTCTGGCCGAGAAAAACATCCATGATACTCTCATGACACCCACCCTCCTGGCCACTGTGCTCTCAAGATATCCGAATCTCGGCTCTAAGCTCCCAAGCCTCAAGTCATTGTGGCTGAATGGCGAAGTTCTCTCGACCGATCTGGCCCGCCGTGCGGTGGAGGCCTTGCCCAACACTCGCATCTTCAATGTTTACAGTGCCTGTGAGACGCATGAGGTGGCAGTTGGTGAAGTGAGCAAGTTCTTGGATCCAGATTGTGCAGTATGTGCCGTCGGGCCGCCAATTGACCCTGATCATGTCTATATTCTCGACAAGGCCGGCAACAGAGTCGAGCCAGGTGTCAGTGGAGAGCTCTTCGTTGGTGGGAGCATGCTTGCCCGCGGCTACCTAAATCTTCCCGAGACTACAGCCAAAGCGTTCCAGTGCGACCCATTCACCAAGAATGAAGGTGCTCGCATGTATCGAACCGGTGATCTCGCAAGGATTCTACCATCTGGCCTTCTTGAAATCACAGGCCGTGTGCACGGAATGATCAAGACCCGAGGGTACACCGTTCAACCCGCTGCTGTGGAGAGTGCCATCGTGAAACATCTTGCCGTCCGTGATTGCGCCGTTGTGGCACACGGCGAAGGCCTAAGCAGGCAACTCGTCGCCTATTTCGTGCCGGACAAGGAGCTCACCCACGATCGTACCGTGGTGGTTGTCGACGAGTCGGGGTATAGCCCCTTGGCCCGTCGTGCGCTTTCTGCACACCTCGCTCACTACATGATCCCTCCCATCTGGGTCGAGCTGGAGGACCTGCCTACGCACGACGTATCTGGAAAGATTAATTTGAAGGGGCTCCCCCCGCCTCCAAATCCTAAGACCCCTAGGAAGCAGTCCACTGTGGAGCAAAACACCAAAATCAAGATGGAGACCGTCATCAAGATTTGGGCCACTGC